TATCTTTTTCACCGTATGATATCCTTTGAACAATAGTCACTGGTCTGGTCAGTCAATAGTATCTACACGCATCTCAAAACCATTATATTTGCACTGATGCTCAAACTCATCTAACTACATTTTGAGTTTCCATATCATATCCACTCAAACATGAAAAAAATTCAACCTTCCCAAAAACACCTTTTTGAGTCCATTTATGTGGTTGGTTACTTATTTTAAATGTCAGAGAATATTCAAAAGATATCACACTATGTAAAAAATAAAGCTTTTTACTTGTCAAGATAATATGTGCATTACACTTACATCACCCCTTAACATGAGGTAAAAAACTGTTGTCAAGTTACCAAAAAAAAGAGAGTAATCAGTAATTAGATTCCATTAACAAAAGTTTTTTTAAAAAATTTGATTCCATTAACGAGTAAAAGTAGGTAAAGAGAAAAATCATAATTCCTAAAATGATAAAAGTTTTTAAAATATCTAAACTTTAAATAGGAAACTATTAATCTCTGATTGATGAAAAACTGTCATACCATAAAGAACTAAGAAAAATAATATAAAAAATCGATTTTTTTTTGGAAAACCTCAAACACAAACATACACACACACTCTCTCTCTTCTTCTTCCCCTCTTTCAATTTCCAGATTCCGAGTAGTACAATCCCTAAATCTCCGTCTCTCTGTTTCTCTCTTCTCTCTCTCAGCTATGAATCCTTACTAGGGTTTTTCCTGTGTGTGTTTCTCAGTTTGCATTTGCTTCTGTGGAGTAGAATCTTCAGGGCTAAATGAGTCATTTTCTCACTTTCTGCTTCATTTCACTCCTCCTCCTCGGTGCCAACGCCGTCACCGAGACCGAGCTCCGATCTCTACTCGAGTTCCGTAAAGGGATCCGTGACGAGACCTCACACCAACGAATCTCATGGTCCGATACAAGCAGCCTCACTGATCCATCTACTTGCCCTAATGACTGGCCTGGTATCTCTTGCGACCCTGAAACCGGTTCAATCATCGCCATTAATCTCGACCGTCGTGGTCTCTCCGGCGAACTCAAATTCAGCACTCTCTCTGGTCTCACTCGTCTTCGTAACCTCTCTTTATCCGGAAACAGCTTCTCGGGTCGGGTCGTTCCTTCCTTGGGTGGAATTTCGTCGCTTCAACACTTAGATCTGTCAGATAATGGTTTCTATGGACCTATACCGGGTCGGATCTCGGAGCTTTGGGGTTTGTTACATCTCAATTTGTCTTCCAACAAGTTCGAAGGTGGGTTTCCGAGTGGGTTTCGGAATCTTCAGCAGCTAAGATCTTTGGATTTGCATAAGAATGAGATTTGGGGAGATGTTGGTGAGATTTTCACTGAGCTGAAGAATGTTGAGTTCGTTGATTTGAGCTGTAATCGTTTCCATGGTGGCTTATCTTTACCAATGGAAAACATTTCCAGCATTTCCAACACTCTCCGTCACTTGAATTTGAGCCACAATGCGTTGAATGGCAAGTTTTTCAGCGCCGAGTCTGTTGGTTCGTTCAAGAATCTCGAGATTGTTGACTTAGAGAATAACCAGATCAATGGTGAGTTGCCGCATTTTGGATCACAGCCGAGTTTAAGAATCTTGAAGCTTGCTCGTAACCAGTTGTTCGGTTTAGTGCCTGAAGAGTTGTTGCAGAGTTCGATTCCATTGCTTGAGCTAGATCTCAGTCGAAATGGTTTTACAGGTGAATTGAAATTTTACAACTTTTCTTTTGAAGCAAGATTTGCCAAAATTGTTGAATCTTGCTACTTTAGGGGATATAAGAATAGAACTATTGAACTTTTAGAGCATTGATTTGACTGATTTCCTGTTCTTGACTAGACACTTGTGTCATATGTATATTAAAGGAGTTTCCTTTGATTCAAATGCAGGATCAATTATTGAAATCAATTCAACAACGTTAACTATGTTGAATCTTTCTTCTAACGGCTTGTCTGGGGATCTTCCGTCGACTTTGAAAAGTTGCTTAGTGATAGATCTGAGTGGGAATACTTTCTCTGGCGATGTATCTGTTGTTCAAAAGTGGGAAGCTACTCCTGATGTTCTTGATCTGAGTTCAAACAACTTGTCGGGAAGCTTGCCGAACTTCACTTCTGCATTTTCAAGATTAAGTGTGTTGAGCATTAGAAATAACTCTGTCGCTGGTAGCTTACCTTCTCTGTGGGATGATTCAGGGGTTTCTCAATTATCTGTGATTGATCTCAGTTCAAATAAGTTCAGTGGCTCCATTCCAGAGAGTTTCTTCACTTTTGCAAGCTTGAGAAGTTTGAATCTTTCTATGAATAACTTGGAGGGGCCAATTCCTTTTCGAGGTTCACGTGCAAGCGAACTTTTGGTTCTAAGGTCTTATCCGCAGATGGAGTTACTTGACCTTTCAACCAATTCTTTGACGGGTATGCTGCCCGGAGATATAGGTACAATGGAAAAAATTAGAGTGCTGAATCTTGCCAATAATAAGCTGTCCGGGGAACTTCCAAGCGACCTCAACAAGCTTAGTGGCCTTTTGTTCCTTGACTTGTCAAACAATACTTTCAAGGGTCAAATTCCCAATAAGCTTCCTTCCCAAATGGTGGGATTCAATGTGTCGTATAACGACCTATCAGGCATAATTCCGGAGAACCTTAGAAGCTACCCGCCTTCTTCTTTTTATCCTGGTAACTCCAAGCTAATTCTCCCAGGCGGGATTCCAGCGGATTCTTCTCGTGATCTGTCTTTACCTGGGAAAAAACATCATTCGAAGCTTAGCATAAGAATAGCGATTATTGTTGCTTCAGTTGGAGCTGCTCTTATGATTCTTTTTGTCTTGTTTGCCTATCATCGAACACAGCTCAAGGACTTTCATGGGAGGAATAGATTTACAGACCAAGCCACGACTAGAGATGCCAAGTTTGGACGCTCTTCTCGTCCCTCCTTATTCAACTTCAGCTCAAATGCTGAGCAGCAGTCATCATCTTTGAGCTTCTCAAACGATCACTTGCTCACCGCAAATTCAAGGTCGTTATCTGGGATACCCGGATTTGAAGCTGAAATTTCCGAGCAGGGTGTGCCTACTACTACTTCAGCCACTACAAACCCTAACCTCCTTGATGATTATCCTGCAGCATCTGGACGGAAGTCTTCTTCAGGAGGCTCCCCATTATCCTCTTCACCTCGTTTTAGTGACCAGCCTGTGATGCTAGATGTTTACTCACCCGATCGATTGGCCGGAGAACTCTTCTTCTTAGATGTTTCACTAAAACTCACAGCAGAAGAGTTATCCCGAGCTCCTGCAGAAGTTCTAGGTAGAAGCAGCCATGGAACACTGTACAAAGCAACACTGGATAACGGACACATGTTGACAGTGAAATGGTTGAGAGTTGGACTCGTGAGGCATAAGAAAGATTTTGCACGGGAAGCCAAAAAAATCGGCTCTTTAAAACATCCTAACATTGTCCCGTTGCGAGCATACTATTGGGGTCCCAGAGAACAAGAAAGACTACTCCTTTCTGATTACCTGAGAGGAGAAAGCTTGGCCATGCATCTATACGGTTAGAAGCTCTTTTAATTAGTCTTTTTACTCCTATAACTATAAGCCTTTCTGTATCTTGTTTGAACAAAAAGTAATCACCCTTTAGGCTTAAGAGATCTACCGTTTCAATCTTTCTGTGCAGAGACTACTCCTCGGAGGTATTCTCCAATGTCCTTCAGCCAAAGACTAAAAGTTGCAGTTGAAGTGGCTCAGTGTCTTCTCTACCTTCATGATAGAGCAATGCCACACGGGAACTTGAAGCCAACTAACATAATCCTCACAAGTCCCGACAATACCGTGCGAATAACCGATTACTGTGTTCACCGTCTGATGACTCCATCTGGTGTAGCGGAACAGATACTAAACATGAGTGCACTCGGTTACTCTGCTCCTGAACTTTCCTCAGCTTCCAAACCAATACCAACACTCAAATCCGATGTCTATGCGTTTGGTGTGATTCTCATGGAGCTTTTGACTAGACGGAGCGCGGGTGACATAATCTCGGGTCAAACAGGAGCCGTTGATCTGACCGATTGGGTGCGGTTGTGTGATCAGGAAGGTAGGAGAATGGATTGCATAGACAGAGACATAGCAGGTGGGGAAGAGTTCTCAAAGGGAATGGAGGATGCACTTGCTGTTGCAATCAGGTGCATTGTCTCTGTCAATGAAAGGCCTAACATCAGACAAGTTCTTGATCATCTTACTTCAATTTCTGCCTGAGATTTGTTTGTTTTTTCTCCTCTCTAAATTTTTCTGTAAATCTCCATGGATTTCCCTTCACCCATCATCCCATTTTTTCTTCTTCTTTTCTGGTTTTATGTTTCTCTTTAGTAGTTTGATCAGATGATTCAGATCCTCGGGTGTTCTTCTTACATTTATTTTTTGTTGATTATTTTTCCCCTTCCTTGTAAAGGTAGAAGAAAATCTAATCCCATTGATTCTGACACAAACATTCGTGTTTGCTTATTGATTTTTCTAAATTTTGTTTCCTCTTAAAATTCCATTCTTGATAGTTGATTGTTAAGGTCTCATACCATTCTTGACATCTAAACAACTTAATTACGTTGGTTCACGTTGCCTAGCCTCCAATCTCTCCATAGCACAAGTCATTTGAGGAATATAACTTCCTTGGCCAAGTTTCCCAGCTGCTACACTCTCTGCTAATGTATTGTTGCAATTTCTCCATACCTTGAGATAACGCATCTTCCGCTTGTTGAAATTAAAATCAAATTCTTTATGTCACATTGAAATCAAAAATACAACAAGCAAATCATATGTAATTCTATAATATTACATTACATACAGAAAAAAGAACAAAAATCGAAAATTGGTTTCTAAAAAGCTACAAACTTTACGTTGCTGATCATATTTACAACTTAACTTCAACATTTCCTTTAGCCGCAAGACAAGAATCACCATCAAGCAGCGGCTTATGTTATTGCTCTTGTTCTTGTCCAAAATCCATTGACCAGAAAACTCCATTCTTGATTCTTAAGGACTCAATCAAACCTTTGTTGAAATCTAAGCATCTTGATTACGTTGGATCACGTTGCCTAGCCGCCCAACTCGAACTCAAAGCTCGAAGCCGCTGGAAATACTCCCCTAATGCTAACAAACCTCTAGCCGCTTGTCGCGTGGTTAAGATCCGATGCATCTGTTGCAATGTCTCATGTCTCAGATGATCAGCCTACAACAACAAAACAGTTTAAGAACAACAACAAACTCAAGAAACCAGTTGTTTTCCTAATAATCGCGCTAGTTTTTGTTAAAATATTTCGTTCTTACTTGATTTACAAAGCTGACCAAAGCCTCCAATCTCTCCATAGCACAAGTCATTTGAGGAATATAACTTCCTTCGCCAAGTTTCCCGGCTGCTACACTCTCTGCTAATGTATGTTGCAGTTTCTCCATACCTTGAGATAACGCATCTTCCGCTTGTTGACATGATTGTCTCAAATTACATACATCCAAAAGTTGTTGATCCGTCAAGGGATCAAAATGCGGTAACAGAACCTAGCCAACAACAAAAAAGAATCCATATCCTAAATCATTGTAAAAAAACATTACTTTTGATGGATTAATGACGGTTTTTTCTATTACCTTGAGAAGCTCTGAGGGTCTAAATCCGCCTATCCACAAGAAAAACCGCTCTGCTGAAGTTTTCCACATTCCTGACATGACGTAGAAGACATCGATTTTTGCAGCGGCTGACTTCATTCGGAAGAGTTGAAAGTAATGTTTCATGGCATTCTCGACTAGTGAACGAAGCTCTATATCACTAACTTGTCCATGTAAAACTGTTCTTAGTTCGCTTATTTGCCTGTTCTGCTCTTCCACCCAATGTCCATATTCCATCTCAAATGCAACAATCCCTAACAAGAAAAACAAAACTGATGAATTGATTTTGAGAGAGATAATGGAAACTACGTAAAGGCTAATAAAGGTGAAAGATTCAAACCTGAGCTCATGTTATCTGAGAAACCAAGAGCATTTGAATCTACTCCATTCCCGACATAGAAACCCTGCAACATTATGATCACAAATTATTATATCAACAAGATACTCAAGGAAAAATAATATTTTGTGCAAACCTGTTGTCTAGCATGATCGAGTTCTTGCTCTAAGTGAATCAGTTTCAACCGGCTTGTCTCTAGCTGCTGAACATAAGCCTACAAGAAAAGACTCTATCGCTCAGTTAAAAAAAAACAAACAAAACAAAACTGTTTTACGAGTTGCGGGAACATAAAGTTTCATACTTTCTTGCGCAAACGACTTTTCCTAGCTGCCTCCCGATTCTGTGCAAGCCTTCTCTGTATCTGTGGAGACATAAAGATTAAAATGACAAAATCTTCACGGAATTAAGATAACCAAATGAGCTATATTATAACTTACCTTATCAGGATGTCTAGATGTGGAAGCCTCTTGGTCAAACTTGTGTGGAGTTCCTTCTGTCCCATGAGAAGTATCCTCTGACTGAACAAAGATTAAGGAAAGCATTAGTTTCTGAATTCAAATGAGATAATTTATCTGAGATATAATAACAAAATATGAAGTACCAAGCTGTCTGGTTTTTCGTTTGTCGGGATTATGATAGAGCCAGGCGTATACATGCCTCCATTGTTCTTGAAGCTTTCTTCCCACATACCGATTTGGTTGAGAGGCTCGTAAACTTCAAACCTTCTCGGTGGAACAAAATGTGTCGATGTTGTATTCATGTTTCTTCAACTGGCAACAAGAAAAGAGATACATACAAAACTTCATTCATCAAAATCAAGAATTGCAAAGACACAAGATCACAAGTTGAAGAGATATGTAAGTGATTTGCAGCGAAAAGGAAAACAAAGGAAAGGTTCTGGCATTAAGTCATTTTCCATCACCCAATTCGTCAACCCTAGCTACTACCTTCCCTAGTTCTATAAGCTCCATTGATAAGGCAAAACATCGGTCTCATATACACCCGAAAAACCCTGTGCTTACTAGTGTTTATTGAAAGGTTGTCAATTAGATAAAGATCATTGAAATATGTTCTCAAAACCTCTAATTGCATTTCCAAAAACAGACCAAACTCAAATGTCATTGTCAGAGTTATTGGATCTTACTGTATCTTCTTCTTTTAGTCACTAATGGTGGACCATCTAAAACACCTCCCAATAAGGAAAAAAATTCCATTACTCTCTCCCAGTGATTTGATATAACATTCTTGTACAATAGTCAAGATTCGATTAAAAGGCTACTCGGAGAAGAAGGTGAAGAGATAGAACCAAATTATCAGATAGCCAATCTATCAGAAGCAACCATCAGAAAAAAAGTTACAGCTTTCAGTTTGCAATCAACGACGATAAACCCTAATCATCGATTAACAATAAACTACAGAGAATCAGAGAGTTTCAGAGAAACACAAAGTTTCGAACTTTTTTCGAGTCAAGCAGAGATAATGATATTTATGATCAACCCAAAAGATAAAAATTCAGAAAGAACAGAGATCTGAAGTCGAACCTTCTTCTGGTCTTTTGTGTCAACAGAGATTCAAAAAGACGAACTTTTCCCGCGGAAACCATGAAAAGAAAAGAACAAAAGCAAAGGAACTTTTCACTTTCAGCGGCTAAATCGAACGCAAGGCCTAGAAATCTGCAGCTTAAACCGGTTCGGGAGCAGAAGGGATGATAAAATCTCCTTCTCTGAACTTGTCATCTCGAAGAAGAATCATGCGAGAGAACACGACAACTTAAAAGAGAGCCCTTTGATTTGAGTTCTTTAAATTGTCTATATCCTAATAAATGTCCAAAACAAAAAAAAACTGAAATTCATTTTCTGTTTTTTTCTTGTTTGTTGATTCTTCGGTGATATTTGTCTTTTAAGCAATAAGTAAAATACAGCAGCTACACTGGAGTCCAAAACTAATTTTGGCATGTTTAATAAATATTATTCTTTTTTACCGTATATTCTTTTTTTTTTTAATAAGGTCCATAATTTATTCTATTACTTAATTAGATTTTTTTTTTTTGGTAAACTGTTAAGTATTTACACCATTTTCAGAATTGCGACAGCGGTTACAGAGGAAACAAAGAAGACAGAAAACCCAAAATCTACAACAAAGATCAACAAAAACCACGAAAAATACAACAAGGAAAGCAGAAGCGATAACAACCAATAGAGGTTCGAAGAAGAAACACCGATTCTGAACTGCGAAGTTCAGAAATTTGCGTGATTGCCTCAGCTCCAAAGAACTCGAGTCCTCATCGTCGTTGCCACGAGCAAATCCTAGCTGAGGCCCGTCCTCGAAACCCCAGACCAAAAAAACACATCCAGCTTCTCCGAAGACTAGCGCAAAAACGGAACCGCTTAAATTTTAATTAGATTTTGTTTCTGATTATTCTGTTTTTCTCTCATTTGTCATGTCACATCACCAAGTATATTCGAAAATTTTAAGCAAATTTTTTTTTTTGATTATTCAGTATTAATTCATATTCTGTGAACATAGTAAATAGTCTTTTTTTAATTTTCAACGATATATTATCCAGCACACGTCAAAATTGCGGCGAGTCTCGTCGGTGATGACGTGCCAATTGACGGCACACGCGCGGCTTAATAGCGCGTGGGAAGAGTGTAAAGCAAATTATCGTGGTTAATGTTTTGCCGCGGGAATGAGAGAAGCGGTTAAACTTTCTATAAGTTCTATGTTGGGATTTATAAGACATCAATCAAACAAATGAAACGAAGTACACGTAACATAATCACAAGCCTGACGTCAACAAAAAATAATAATTAATAAGACTTGAGTTTTAACAGGTGTACGAAATCATTAGTTTTGATAGTTCTATAGCATGCTGATCAAATATTGGCTTAAGATTACCCAATATAAGAGGACAATAATATTGAGGTTCTTATAAGCAAAACGATCAGCATGTAATCTTTGAAGTTTTCAGCTTAGAGCACCCACAATGGGATATCTCTGAGGATATGAGTTTGTGTTCATTTACTAATAAAATAATGTTCTAGATTTAACTATTCTATAATGTGGGATCCACTACTCTGATGTGTTTGGCTCGCGCGTAAGCCACACGCAGTAACAATATTTCAATATCAAAAATCCGAACCAACCACAAAAGGACACATGTCCCTCACACCCGAGTGTATGTTTACACTCGCCTTCCGACTCCTACACAACTTTTGCCTTATTTTCGATTATTTAATTACACACACTCGACCAACGAATACCCCACTGCGTATGGTCTTACTAAGCAACGCTTATATAATGTAATTATATCAACATTTAGGTATAGTTTTATATGTAGGTTAATTATGCCAACTAAAAAGATTCACATATACGTCTTGTTAATAATAAAATCCTACTATTTGATAATATTTATATACTGAAAAAGATAAACGAACCTTTGCGAAGGAATCACTTAGCTGACAAAGAAATATTACAATATTTTGATATTAGAACAGATTGGCTCTTCAAGTTCCATTGGAGACATATTTTTGTGACCACAACTTCTATCCACTTGCCTCTTTACTTATTATTTTAAGCACAACGAATACTAACTAAAATATGTGATTTGGTGTATTTTTCTGTATAAACAATATCTAACCAGCTTTCCCTTTTCCTTTAGTATGTTATCATACATATATAATTCTTGTTCATGTATCGCACTCATTTTTTTTCTTTTCCATATGATGAAGGCCGTGAGTAAGACATTTAGCAAACAAAATAATGAAGACGTCACTGCGGGAAGGTTTTCTTCCGCAAATTTCTTTAACAACGCACTTCTTTTTTTTTAACCGAAATAGTCCTATGTCGAATTTCAGACAAAAAATTTCAAAAGATTAATAATATGTATTAGAGCACAAAGAACATTAACTATGAAAATAGAGAAATTCGAAAAAGATTGTTAATGAGACATGACGCACAAACTCTTTGCTTTTGCCTATTTGTGGAATTATTCTCGAGTGCTATCTTATTAAAAGTGGTTTGCCACTAAGAGTGGGTGTCGTCACTCTTATTTTTCATTTGTATTTTAGGCTAACTATACCCATGTCTTGGAATCAATCTAAGAGTTTTCACGAACCCTGTAATATTTAACTCGACTTTATTTAGCCACATTCTAAAAGATATTGTCTTTTTAGTTTTGTTTAATCTATAAAATACCATAGAAAGGATTCTATGATTAAGTGCCCGAACGTAGAACCAATCATTCGTGAAAGATAAATATATAGTCCACCAAAGATAAAACATTTTATATGAAAGTGGTTTTTGTTGGCGTGTTAACATCCAGTTAAATGTCGTAGGATTCAATGTTCTCATTGTGAAGCAAAAGCTAGGACGGTAAATTATGCATTTTTTTTTAATGTCCTTCGAATTTACAGACATGGACTTTATCAACTGTTCTTTCGGCACCAAACATCTTTCCAGTGACCTTGATTTTTCCGAATTTTGACTATATATTATGGAAGAACCTAGTCAAGAATCCGTACTTGGTGGATCATCCTTTCCCATTAAAAGTTTTTAGATTATTTGAAAAGTTAGGAATGACAAAAAGTTTTGGGATTTGGTCCGGGAGCTACTCGACATTGTAGATCATGGACGACGGAGGATTCAAAATGGTTTCGTAGCTCAAGCTTCTATGCTTTGGTTGGAAAAGTGTTACCTAGCTCAAACTTTGGTCGTGGAGATAAAAAGGATACGAATGCCAAGTAAATCGAAGCAAACTTGAAAGCTTTTTACGGAATTTTATATATATGTTGTTGTTTCTATTTATGTATGCTCAAATGTGAGTGTGTTTGACGTGAAAAGGAAAAAAAAAAGGCAGTAGAAGTAGCTCCCACTTATCCACTTACTAGGTGTAAAGTTATGATGTTTTATTCGATGAATTTCATTGCAAGGATTTTCTTGAAACAAAAAGATAGATTTGTTAAGTAGCCAATTGAGTATGTTCATATACTGTGAAATTAGACTCATCATAATAGTTTTATAGCCAATTTGATTAATTAATCGAAGTAACTTACTTTCTAAATACTCATTATATATATCTTACAATATTCTTACTGAATTTCATATGAATCTATCAAATAAAGATATTTATTTTTCTAGAAACAAAGAAAAAGAACGTAAAAAGGAAGAAGAAAATTGAGGAAGTCTTTGCGACATTATCCCCAAGACAAAATGGGAACTATCATCATTTTTAAGATTACTTCCTTTTCTTCTCTTTCCTTTTGGTTTCTACCTTTGACTACGTTTTATCTTTTACTTTTTCTTCTTCTTCTACTATATTAATAAATAAGCTGAATATTTATCAAAAATAAAATACTATTTCATTAAACGTCTTCTGTTCAGCATCTTTTTTTTCGTTTACTAGTAATTTAAGTCGAAGTAAAATATAAATTTTTATTATTATTATTTTATAAATTATCTAGAAGAAGATTATTAAAATCGTCGTGGAAAGAGACCTATCATTTCCTGATCCCCCGAAAGAAAAAAAAAAAAAACAAGAGTGGGCTATAAGTAAGTTTATATCATATTGGGCTTATATCATAAGATTGGGAAATAATATATGGCCCAATAAAGTATTCTAAACTGATTTGGGTTTCGATAATGAGTAATAAAATGATTTCACAAAAAAATCTAATATTATTGACAATTCCGACTAATTGAGGTTTTCTAAAACCATTGTCTCTAACTAAAACAAGTATTGGTGCACACGGTATCAAGAAACCAACCTCGCCAACTTTTGCTAGAAAGAAACCATCAAAACCAATAGAATTGTATATAATATGATTAACACAAAAAGAAAGTGGAACATTCCTCATTCAAAACCCGCACACTGAAACAATATATAAATACATTCGTGTGTTTTTTTTGGCATAGAATTGGAGACAGCCGACATAGGAAGATCGAGCAATGGATTCATCGGCGGACATAGCAATATTAGTGGCAGAGGAATGTGAGCAGAAGGCGAATTTAACGGCAGAGAAAGCATCGGATTCAGCGGAGGTTGGGTGGTTGATGGTGTTTGATATTAAGGAGAAGAAGATTGAAAGTTTGATGAGGAAATTTGAAGCTAAATCTCAGTTTGCTGTGGCTGTTTCTAGTGGCTTTTTCTCTGCTTAACTATTTTCCATCCTTGTACTAAGTAACGTTGACCTCATGATGCATATATGGTTTAGGCATGATTTCAAATAATCCTTGATATAATACTTTCATTTGCTTTATGTTTTGAGTTCTACAAGCTTTGTATTTATAATCTTTTGGGTTATTTTGTAATAAGTACAGTTTCTTTGAGGTTAATGGAAATCTGAATTAGTAAGTTTTTCTAATTGTCAATGTTCATAAGAGATTATTAACGTGAGTGATGCGAGCATATAGATGTGTTAATTTGACAAATTCTAAAAAGAACTAAAACACAGAATTTCAATTAAAGTAGTGAAAAGAAATTGGAGAGATTCAAAACGGGAAAAAACCCGTCTAAATGACATAAAGTGGATTGAACTCAGGAAATGGTGGGCAAAACAACCCATGTTTAACCACTTGATTACGACAACATATTCGGAAAGTTAAGAAAAGATATCGTATATAAATACGTTAACATCATGGGTTAAGCTTTAACTACAGTTAGCAATTCCGTTACCAACGTTAACCGCCGTTAACTCGGGCGTACGATTTTACCAATTTTTTAAAAACGAAGGTTTTAAAAGACAACCGAAATTAAATTAGGTATTTTTATTCCAAATTTAAAACTACACGTATTAAACGGCCAAAAAAAAAATAGATAGGGTTTTTCACAAAAGGGACCATAGTTTTAGTTTGTACTTTTTAAATGACTTGTAAGAAAGTTTGTTTTTAATGGTGATGTGTTAAAAGCCTAACTTACGGGGTAATAATCACAAATTTATAAACTTGAGGGGTAGAAAATAAATTATCAACAAATTGTTTTCTTTCTTCTTTATTAGACATGAATCACAAGATGTAAGAAACTCTGAACATATAAAACTTCCATTTTTGTCCAAAAAAATATATATATAAAAAAAACTTCCATTTTTGATCAATCTGAGAACTCAAGAGGGCTCTGAAAATGGAGAGCGACGACGAGAGTCCGGTGGTTCTGATAACGGGGTGTTCTCAGGGAGGGATTGGTCACGCGCTGGCGCGTGAGTTCACTGAGAAAGGATGTCGGGTGGTAGCGACGAGTCGATCACGGAGCACCATGACGGATCTGGAGCAAGATTCGAGGTTATTCGTGAAGGAGCTTGATGTGCAATCTGATCAGAATGTGAGTAAGGTTTTGTCGGAGGTTATTGATAAGTTCGGTAAGATCGACGTTCTTGTCAACAACGCCGGAGTTCAGTGTGTCGGCCCACTGGCGGAGACTCCAATTTCCGCCATGGAAAACACATTCAATACCAATGTCTTTGGTAAAAATTTAATTTCAATTATTAGAATGTGTGTCAAAGTTCTCTCATTTAGTGGAGCTTCAATAGTTGGAGTTGGAATTCTGGTTTTATGCTTATTAGTGAATCATTGGAATTTACTTTAATCCATTTCAAATGTTGATTGATACTTTGGAAAAGATGGAAGCTTTTTGTTTCTCTGATTTGTTGGCTTTGTCAAGGAACTCGAATACGTGTTGATCATGTTTGTTGCGTTTGGGTTGTTAGGAGAGTTTTAAAGAAGTGAACTTATCAATGCAGGTTCCATGAGGATGACTCAAGCTGTTGTACCTCACATGGTGTCTAAGAAAAAAGGAAAGATTGTCAACGTTGGAAGTATCACTGTTATGGCACCTGGTCCATGGGCTGGTGTCTATACAGCTACCAAAGCTGCTATTCATGCTCTTACCGATACCTTGAGGTTTGCTTTTAGCGTTTTCAGTTTTGATTCTACTGTTTTAACTTATCAAATGCCGCTATTTGTGTCGTTTGTATATATCCTGTTTGTTTGTGCTTTTTCTGTCAATGGATGGTAGTAAACTAAGAATTGTTGAAATGTTCTGATCTCAGTTTAAGGTGTGATCAAATCTGAGGACTTAAATCTGATGTTGGGTTAGGTGGATGATTCTTGTAGTTGTTCAAATTATCCAGTACCGGATGGATTTGGGTTTTCAATTGTTTGTAATGGTTCTTGCTTAACGTCAGGTTGGAGCTCGGGCCCTTTGGGATTGATGTCATCAACGTTGTCCCGGGAGGAATAAGAACAAACATAGCAAACTCAGCGGTGGCAACCTTCAACAAAATGCCTGAGCTGAAACTATACAAGCCTTATGAAGAAGCTATCAGAGAAAGAGCGTTTATATCACAGAGGATGAAGCCAACTCCTGCAGAAACATTCGCCAAAGACACCGTAGCTGCAGTGCTGAAGAAGAACCCACCCGCTTGGTTCTCTTCAGGCAGGTATTCAACCCTCATGGCAGTCATGTACCACATGCCTCTATGGCTCAAAGATTTTCTCCAGAAGCAGGTTTTAATGAAGAAGTGATTATCAGGTTGGGGTTTAAGACAGAATGTAAGATAAACACGAATGTAAAAGATTTGTTCAAATTGTTAATTAAATCTTACGTCTCCATGTTTGACTCGGTTCGGTTCTTAAGGTATAGAACTATAGAAGTCTACATTTTTTTTTTTTTTTTTTTTTTTTTTTTTTTTTTTTTTTTTTTTTTTTTTCCTATAGAAGTCTACATACTTACATGTAGGAGATAGAGAGTAAACAGGAGAAAATTATTACATTATGTTGTAAAACCTTGTGGTACAATTATCTGTAACGGGAAAAGGTGAGGATTCTACAACCAGAGGAACAGTAGTTCTACTTTGATTTGACCCAACAATATAACATCGAAACCACATAAGAAAAAGGGTCAGAACTATCTAAAAGCTATTAACTAACATCATTTCTAATTTTAAGAATGGTGTGGAGCTCCGTAATACATTATCCCCGGTGGCTGGAAAGTTGGACCTTGTTGAGATTGCTGAGCTGAGTTCGACTGAGGAATTTGAGGCTGTTGATTACCTATCAAATGTGGTGGTGGTGGTGGCGGCGGAAGTCCAGGTGGCATTAATGGAATGTTGCCAAAGCCGTAAGGGTTGTTCATTACCGGTGGTTTTAGGAATTGTGGTGGTGGTGGATTAGGTATTACATGGTACTGACCTTGTGTGGTAGGTGTCTGATTCTGGGAGTTGTTGTAAGAAGGGAACGAAGCATTAGTATCTGAAACTGGAATTGTGCTCTCTGATTTGGATAGACCAGAAGTCTTTGTTGCTTCAGCTGCGAATGAAGATAGAACAGATTGCATTATCATGTGTGATGAGGTTGATGCTGTGAGCATCGCAGCAATAGATGCAGGCGTCATTTTTGATGCTTGACCAGATTTTGTGTTGTCATTTGTCTCGGTTATCGTAGTGGCAGCAGCTGTTGGTTTTGATGCGTAATCCTCATCATTAAGCCGTTTCTGCATGTTTTGGGCTTCCTCTGTTTGTTCTAGTGCGACCTAATAATAACAAAATGGTACATTAGCTAATAGCTCAGGTTGGTCAAAGATGCAGTGGGAATCCACACACAAACCTGAATCTGAGCTTTAAGATTGTCCAGTTCGGATTCCTGGCACAAGTAAGCAAAAGAATGAAAAATAGATTACCGAAATGGTGAACTTGCCAAGTGCAAAATCGCATTTCGTACCTGTTCGCGTAATGCATCTTTAAGCTGGTTCACAAGGGAAGTTCTACTTCCTTGGACAGATTTAAGTTTCTCAATACATTGTCTCAAAAGGTATTCTTCTTCTTCCAATTCTTTCGCCAAGGATTTTCTCTTCGGGTTGTCTTTTGCTGGAGAGACACAAATAAATATGATTTACACTTGATTTTGAGGAAAACCTGGGTCACTTGTTGGTAATAGATAATAAGTAAAAAAGATTTTTACCAGTAGAGCAGGCTTCTTCAACATCTTTCTCCATCTTCCTGATTCGTTTAACTGCAGACTTACATTTATTCATCTCAGCTTCTTCATTTGAGTTTTCTGCAACAACCAAATGATATGCGGATGCTATCTTCTCAGCTACACCTCCACTTGATGATAATTTCTGGTTCCAAAGGCAAAAAACCCCCCAAAAATGAAATTTGACTGATATTAATAGAGGAGAAAAGGAAATCTTGGTGTTTAGTGTTTTACCGTTCTAGACGATTTTGAATCCCGTTTTCCAGATCTGGATCCGCGAGACCGCTTTTTGCTGATATCAAGTGGCAGGGGAACATCTTCTCCAAGCATTACATCTTTGAGACTCTTTGAACGGGATCCAAACACTCTTCTTTCTTCCCATATATTGACCTACAAATCACGTTAAACCGATATCCCGATTAGCAATTAACTTCTATATTCATGTTTTCTGTATCGCATCACACATCTCAAGAACCTTAAAGCTCTTCATCCCTAACATCAAACACTACACTACCCCAACACAAAACATGAGATTGAGCACTAAGCAGACATTGACCATCATATAACGAAAAAAAAGCTCCAATGAAGAATGAAAGAAAGAGAGAAAAATACCAAACGTGAGACAACGCTTTTGCCATAATCATCTCCTTGAGAAACAATGTCTTTAACAGCCTTAGGAAGAACATTCCAGAACTCTTGCACGAACTCATTACCCTGACGCTTACTGTTCTGAAGAATATCATTAGCCAAATACATAAGAGGGACTTTCTGAGCCATCTCTGTACTGTGAAACTGTTTCTCCCATGTCGTAACAATCAATTCAGCTTTGGTCCGATTGAATATACACCAATGTGACAGAGCTTGATTCCAAAAGAGTCAAGAAACCAAACATCGGAAAATTGAACACAATTACAAGATCTAAGCATAAAGGTAAAAACTTTTATAAACTCAAGATAATAAAGTGAATAAAAGAGGATACTTTCGATGCACTGTTGAGTGCTATTGAGCTTAGCGAGCTTATCAATCAGGATCTGTTCACTGAACACACTACTCATCCCACCAAAACTCACAAAACCCTAGAAAGTAGAGATTTTCAAGTAGGCAAAAGAAGCTCAAGTAGTTTACGAATTTGAGTGAAAAGCAGCCGGATTTGCTTAAAGCTGGTGAGCTGGGATACAGAAGAATCCGGCGGAGGAGCTGGACTACTTGTGCGGCGGAGGGTGAACGGAGAAAAAAGAACCCTAGAAGGCAGAAGCAGATGAGTAGTAAGGAGATAGCCAAAAACGACGACGTTTTGACGCCGAAATCGATCCCTAGAGCTAAAATCGCAGAGAAGAGAGGAATCAGGAAAGTTGTGTTATCTTAAAGATGGGCTTTCACTTTCTTCTTCTCCATATTTTTGTTCCACTTCAATTATTTTCTCATTTTGTTTGACCTAAAAAAAGATTTAATCTTTACATGGAAAAAACAAAAACATTAAATTTCAAAAATCTAAGAATGGATAGTAGATATTTTTATTAATAAAAAAATAAAAACATTATACTACATGGTATTTATTATACACCTGAAGAATCCGGTGAAAACTTGACAACATTGCTTTCAAGTGTAAGCCAAAGATATAAACTTTTTTAGATCAAATAGGATGGCTTTCACTCGCTGTCTTCTTCCTCACTGTCTTCCAATTTGATATGGTTCATGTTCCTCTCTAGAGGAGGGAGATCATCATCATCATCATCATCCTCTGATTCATCACCAGATTCACCATCTTTCTTAACATCTACCCAAAGCAAGAACGAACCAGAAGCAATATTTAATTTTTTGTGAGATTGCATCTTACGTTTGGTAGTAACAGAGAGATTTAAAAAAAAAAAAAGTGACTTACGTTCTTGGAGGGCAGGTGGTTGTTTTGGGATCTGAGTTTGCTGAGTAAGCCAAGAATTTTGAACTGAGATGATCTCAGCGCTATTCTCACATTTCGAGTACTCCTTTAAAATATCCCTGCGATATAGCAAGACCTTGTTAAAAAAACACATACTCCAAATGTATTCACCTATCAAAAAGCAAAATGATGTGAAGATGTTGAGCTTCTCCGGTTTTGTTACTTGTTAAGAGATAAAAAAGCATGACCCCATTTGAATTTTCCTAGCAAAAGTTCTGCAGTTTCCTTCTCCCCACTGATTGGAAAACAAATAGAGAGCAAAACATATTAGAAACTTCAATAATGAATGACCAATGAATGCGATGGGTTTTAGGAGAAGAGGGATTGGACTCACCATAGTATTAAAGCGGCAGATAAAGCCTCCACACAAGATAGCTCACATGGCTTTCCATAATTTACTGGATTAGCTGCTACTAACCATGGTACTACAACCATAAAGAAAGAAGAAACATTTACAAGAGATCTGGCTAAATCCTCAAAATATTTAGCAAAGGTGACTGATTGATTGTAAGTTCTTACAGAGACGAGGAGCAGTACAACGCAGCTTAGCAAACGGGACATCAGTTAGACGTGCCCAAGAACAATCAACAACAGCTAATCCTTTCCTTTTAATCAGATCATAGTCTTCCCTTGAAACACATTGTCTACCAACTGGACTGCCAAAATTATAAGACACAGATTACGATATTAAAAACAGAGGATTAAGAATGTGCCATCTAATGTCATCACAAATCAAATCACCCAAAGATACTGTAATAAGAGATATACCTTAAAACAACTCCTCCAAAGCCAGAGTTAACCCGCAATTCCTACAAAATCATCCCAGCAGAATTTTCAGCTGAAACACTTAGAAAGAAGAGGACATATATATTTCACTAGCTCAAGATACTTACTTTTAACAAGTTAAATCTAGCAAGCTTACGACCTGTGCACCTCTTTGCATCACATTGACCAAAATCCTAAACCAACAAAACACAGTAGTGAGTACTGAAGCAATTTGTTCTTCGAAATTTAATTGGATTTGAATAAACATAAAAGGAAACTATGCATACCCACATTGCCAATTGAACTTTTGGACCTGGTGCTTCATCCTCAGGTTCTATATAAAATCACCCAATAAGAGTATTACTGGTAGTATATTCAACAATTAAAGCCGATCACATAACCACCACAACAACAACAAAAAATCCAATTTTTCAGTACCTTGATCAAGAGGAAGCGATTCATCTTCCCTGCAATTTCAACGAAATCACAATATTACTCACCTACGACAAAATCGAAAACAGAGCTAAACCTCTAGATTCGCAAAGATAAGATTTAACCTTCCAAGATTATCAGTCCGACTAGTTTGACCACGATTCGAATTGCCTCCTCTGGATCGATTGTGCTTCCCGTAACCCATTTTTTCCGGCGATGTTTCCGACAAATGCAAAGGCTTTTTGATCGGCTCAGGGTTTTATATGTAAATTAGGGTTTCTAAAGGTAACCGACGGACCGATGTTCAAACCAAACCGAAACGAATAATTGAGTACACGTGTAGTAAAAGCACACCGTTCAGGGTAGTTACGTAATTTTCATGGGTGATTTAGGACAAAACCGTAATTCCAAACCGAACCGGACATATGATTGAGTACACGTGTAAAGTACACCGCTTAGGGTATTTACGTCATTTAACAATCTCGCTTTCTTCCCGTTAAGCTTCTTCTTCTTTCTCAATTCTCACTCTCACAGCAGCCTCCGACCAACATTCACACTCTCTCGATATATATCTCTCTCTTCTATAAATATTCTTCGATTGAGAATCCAATTTCACTAGATTGTTCGCTTGCTCACTCTACTTTAACAGTGCTAGGTCTTGTTAATCTGAGCAAAACCCTAGCTCGAAAAATGGCGTCACGATCTGCTTTTATACTCTTCTGTGTTCTCTTTCTAGCTACAGAAGAGACTCTAGCTTCTGTCTTCTCCTCAAGGCTGATCCACCGCTTCTCCGACGAAGGAAGAGCGTCGATTAAGACTCCGAGTTCGTCGGAATCGTTGCCGGAGAAACAGAGTTTGGCGTATTATCGATTACTAGCTAAAAGTGATTTCCGAAGACAGAGAATGAATCTTGGTGCTAAGTTTCAGTCTCTTGTTCCATCTGAAGGAAGCAAAACTATATCTTCTGGAAATGACTTTGGATGGTACATTTTTTTTCTTTCATTTTCACTCTAAAATTAGAATAAAAAAAAAAGTTCCTCTTTTTATCTTGAAGTTTCTAAATTTTGTTCCTTTAGATTCGATCCCGAAGGAAAGTCCTGTGTTTTGACTAACTCAATCTGCTTGATACACACTGTCTTTTCCTTTGGGTTAACTTGTTTTTTGGATAAGTAAAATAAGTTCTGAACTTTGTAGATTAGTAGTGGTTTGTTGCCTTATATGAATTTTGTGTTTGATGTTTTTACTCAGGCTACACTACACATGGATCGACATAGGGACTCCGAGTGTATCGTTTCTTGTGGCTTTAGATACTGGAAGTGATCTACTTTGGATTCCTTGCAACTGTGTGCAATGTGCTCCTCTAACATCCACTTATTATAGCAGCCTGGTATGTGATATAAAATGATAAGCATGTTGCTTATATATAGAGTTAGATAGTGAAATGATGACCGGTTAGCGCTTATTTCCAATTGATTGATTGGCAGATGCTTCCTCGTGTTTGGGGGCACATATTCTGCAGGCTACTAAAGATCTGAAAGAGTATAATCCATCAAGTTCAAGCACCAGCAAAGTCTTTCTGTGCAGCCATAAGCTGTGTGATTCTGCTTCAGATTGTGAGAGCCCGAAGGAGCAATGCCCTTATACTGTTAAATACCTTAGTGGAAATACCTCGAGCTCGGGACTACTTGTTGAAGACATCTTGCATCTTACATATAATACTAACAATAGACTGATGAACGGTTCCTCCTCTGTCAAGGCTCGAGTTGTTATAGGGTGCGTTTTACTTTTACCATTGTATACGCTATGTTTGTTTTTAAATGTGTAAGAAGCAAAGTATTGATAAATGTTTCTTCATATTGCAGATGTGGTAAGAAGCAAAGTGGGGACTACTTGGATGGGGTTGCTCCTGATGGTTTGATGGGTTTAGGACCTGCAGAAATCTCGGTTCCAAGTTTTCTCTCTAAAGCAGGACTCATGAGAAACTCTTTCTCGTTGTGCTTTGATGAGGAAGATTCAGGGAGAATTTACTTCGGTGACATGGGACCGTCAATACAACAATCAACACCATTCCTTCAGCTTGAGAACAAGTAAGTAATGAACGATCTCTATACTTTTTTAACCATTTTATGACAGCTTTTATCAATTAGCAACTTATGTTGATTTTTGTTTACAGTTCAGGCTACATTGTGGGTGTGGAGGCTTGTTGTATTGGCAACTCGTGTCTGAAGCAGACGAGCTTCACAACTTTTATTGACAGTGGACAATCATTTACTTATCTACCGGAAGAAATATACAGAAAAGTTGCACTTGAGATTGACAGACATATAAACGCTACGAGTAAGAGCTTTGAAGGTGTTTCATGGGAGTATTGCTATGAATCTAGGTACACTAATTCTATAAACAGATATAGAGAAAGAAGCTCTTTTCTTGGTTTCATATATTCTTCTCTTAATATATTTTGGATTTTCCTTTTTGTTTTGCTGGAGACAGTGTTGAGCCAAAGGTACCAGCGATCAAACTCAAGTTTTCGCACAATAACACATTCGTGATTCACAAACCTTTGTTTGTATTCCAACAAAGTCAGGTTAGATTGAACATCTTTACACGTTTTATGATTCCTGCTAGAAAAAACAAGATTTAGATTTTGATGTATTACATTGTCATGAACCATTTTTCAGGGGCTTGTTCAATTTTGCCTACCTATCAGTCCTAGTGAACAAGAAGGCATAGGAAGCATAGGACGTATGTATTAGCCTTATTCATCTTCTCTCTTTCTCTCTGACATCCTGAGACCATTGTCTTCATCAATTAAACTTATATTTTTCTTTTGCAGAGAACTACATGAGAGGGTATCGAATGGTTTTCGATAGAGAGAACATGAAGCTACGCTGGTCAGCCTCCAAATGTGAGATTTTGATTTAAACTGAACATTTCTACTAAGACCTCTTTTAGGATCCAAAACTAAATCGAATGATACCGGGGTTGTTTTTTGCAGGTCAAGAAGATAAGACAGAGCCGCCTCAAGCTTCACCGGGAAGCACTTCATCGCCATATCCATTACCAACAGAGGAGCAGCAAAGCAGAGGCCATGCGGTTTCACCAGCAATTGCAGGTAAAACTCCATCCAAAACACTATCATCATCATCCTCATCAAGATCATCATGCATCTTCTCTTCCATGATGAGATTATTCAACTCTCTTCTTCTGCTACATTGGCTTGCCTCTTTAATGTAGAGATAAAGATTGTCATATCAAAAACAAAACTATTTTGCCTTGCATATATATAAGAAGTTGATCTCAAAGTCTTGCACCAATTCTATTTATCTTCCTCATCATCTCCATCAATTCAATTCGGATTAAGTTTACTGAGTTAGTACAAAGTTCAAATTTTTGTTCTAAATTATTTATATAACATCTGTAAGTTTTGGTTTTCAAATGATTAATACACTTTTTACGGATATACAATTGAATCAATTGAATAAAAAGATTCACTTTTTTTTACCGGCCAAACAAAAAAAAGAAAGAAAAGCAAGACCACGGCGGTTGTTAATCGCCGGGAGAGTTCAAGAGTCATGGCCACGGCGTTTCACGAGCTGCTTCTGAGCCTCCGACAATCCTTTGGTCACTTCCTCATCTTCCGGTGTCTCTTTTTTCAATATCTCGTAATCTCCAATCGCCGATTCCCAATTCCCAAGCTGCAACCACACACACAAAACACATTAAAATTACAACCCCTATTTTATACTATATTCACGATTTTGCCATTTATACAAATAAAAACTCTACTTCAGGAAACGAACACATGTTAACTACCTTAGCGTTACAATCGGCTCTTCTGAGACGAGCCTTGGTGTAACCAGGACGGACGGCGAGTGCCGCTGAGGTATCCTCAACTGCTCTATCGAACTGGCCTATTTTGGATAGGCAAGCCGCTCGGTTACATAGCAAGACTGAGTTTCTTGAGTCGTGGTCTAAGCCTTCACCATAGGCTGCACAAGCTTCTTGAAATCTTCCGGCTTTAAAGAAATCGTTGCCTCGTGATCGTGCGGCCGTAACCGCCTGCGCACGCCTGAGAACCATACTCACTTCCCTGTTGTTACCGTCCAGCTTGCCAGCTCGTTGAATTGCCTCAACCGCCTCTACAAATCTGTTTGAATAACCCGGTTTAGGGCAGATATTATCTACAACTGTAAGCTTGTAGGGACTCAAAGAGAACAAACCTGCCGGAAGCCATGTGAACCTGAGCCCATACAACCAAGAAACCGGCGTAACCGATGGGTCCGTAATACTTTGTGCTCATTTCCCCATCAAAAACCGGGCATCTCGACAAAGCATCGTCAGCCTCTTGATGTCTGTAAGTCTTCAAGAAGGCCTCTGCTTGCAATGCATATACTTGAGGAGCTGCATCAGCGCCTGTAGTTATGGTGTTTTCTGTTTCTTTGATCAAAGTGTTCCAATCTCGCAATCTTTTGGCCTCTGTACATTTGTTGAGATGTGTTTGAACCATTTTAGCCTTTGAAATGTCTTCTTGGTCTGCTTCTGGACCCGCATGCTTGAAATGGTATATTGACTTCTCCACCTCTCCTAACCTATTGGTTTAAAATCTGTGGATTTCAGAAAAATGATGATAGTACTTGAATGGCAAGGTAAAGTTTTGATGAGATTACCTGAGGTACAAGTTAGCCAACCGATGGTGTGCTCTATGGTAATGAGGATCGATTCTGATTGCTTCTCTACACTCAAATACTGCCTCGAGAATTCTCCCCAATGCCGTTAAAGCTGCGCTCTTGTTGCTACGATAAGAAGCCTTTTTTGGATCGATGGATATTGCAGCTTCATACAAGGCTAACGCCTCTGCGAAATTCCCGTTCTTATAATCTTCATTACCCATTATCTTTAACGTTTCGGGATCCATTCGTGTGGAAATCGCTCTACACAAAGATCCTGACTGATCTTGATTATTTGAAGCCGGTATTGGTGTAACCGATGTTTTTCTTTCCTCGTCCATTGTCTTCTTCACTCCATACCCTCCACCAGTATTCCCGTATCCATTGTTCTGGATTGTAGTTTGATTCCCACCTGATGCTCCGGGCTGCTTCAAGTTCCCAAGATTGCCAAACAACATCACATTGCTTGAAGAAGCTCGAACCATAGAGCCATTATTCCCTTTTGCTTTCTGATTATCGATGATCATGCTCTCTAGCTCACCTGATAAACCAATTGCTTCCCTCGGAACCTTCCTCACTTGTTGTTGTTGGACTGGTCCTTGATTATTACTTGGTTGGTTATTCCCATTACTGCCTAATTGATGGTTATTTGGGTATTGATTCGATGAGGGTTTTGAAATAGGTTTCTGTACCTGGTTCTGGATCTCTACCGGCTCAGGTAAAACTTTATTTTCTTGAAGCTTCCTCGGGTTAAATTCGGTACATGGAGATTTGGTGAACTGAATGTTAGCGGTGGTAGCGGTGGCGGTGGAGGCATTGCTGCTACTCATTGTGCTTTTATGGCTACTATTGTCCGCGGGACATTTCTTGGACCACAAGCCACGTCTATTAAACACAAATCCCAAAAACCGACAGCGCGACTTTTTCTCCACCGGATTATCCGCCATCCTTCCTCCTCTAGATAGAACCAAAACCCCGCCGCAGAACAATCAATGGAACCCCAAGAAAGGGGTAATATATGAAGATAGAAATATAAGGAAACAGAGCTTTTAATGGTTGGTATTTACAAAAGAGGACACCATTGTTAAGAGGAGAGAAGAGATGGAGGAAGCTTCTTTTGTTGCATGTCCTCTTCTTGAATCAATAATTTCATACAAAATGGCATTATGATCAAACTAGGTTAAGAAGAAATGCAAGAAGGAACGACTAATACAGGGTAAAATAACGAAAAGAACAAGAACAAGAACAATTTATTTTTCTCTTCTCAAATCGATATCAAATTCTCAATAGACTTTGGTGGTGGGTTTGTCTTCTGTTCTGTTCTGTCAATTCAAGATTTCTTTTTCCCTCTCTCTCTTTTTTCTGTTGTTGTTTGTCTCTTTTTTTGCTCTATGACAATCGCATGTTGACCTGGTATTGTAAGAGAAACAGAAAATGAACCTCAGATTTGTTTAGTCAATATTTAGAAAGAAAATGAGAGACTTGTCGGAACAAAAAAAAAACGTCCGATTTTTTCTCGACCCGATTCTATTTTTGGTTGATTTTATGGGGTTCAAATTGTTTTTTTTTTCTATGTAAATTAAGTTGGTTATGACAACGTATGTGAATTGCTCATAAAATCTAAAATAAAGTGGGTTCACCAAATCAAGACTCTAAGGAGACAATTTTCTACTAATTATCTTAAACCAAAAAAAAATTCTACTAATTATATTTATATATATGTTTTTATTTTATGAGCCATTAGAACTCAAAACTCAGTGCTTACAATGCTAGCTATAATTTTGTGTCTTCTTTCCTTTTTGACAGATTTTTGTGAAAAATATCTTTAAACGACACTAAACAGAGAATTATGTCATCTTAACATTAAACCAAAAAAAAAACAGAGAAATATGTATATGTTGCACTGACGTCGACCCTCAGTTTTGTGATGTGTAAAGCTGGTATACGCGTACGCATAGATGGCCGGGAAGAAACTAGTATAAAATGAATACAAAATGTTTTTAAGTAATGAATTAGTAGTTTAGTACTAATCACCTCGAAACCCTAAATCACTAACATAATACAGCAATAAACAATTCTTAAAACGAGTGGTTAACTAGCAAATTACGTTAACCCTTGAGCAACTAACGGGGAAAAAGCCAAAACCAAATATTAAAAAAACAAAGGGATCGATCGACTGATTAGTCGAGAAGCAGAACTTGTGGGCTTCGTCCACACACGTATAATGAATTGATTCTCTATGTAGTTATGTACTAATACTTTTACCTTTATTTTATTACTAAATTATTATGCATGCTTGTAATCGCTTTTAGGTTTAAACGAAAAAGAATCTGCCGACTTACTGAGACTAGAGAAGGGGTTTATCCGTTTATGTTTCATTAGTGTCACTTACTGAAGTAGACCAAACGTGCGGTGTTTGGCTCGAAGCACGACAAGATTAAGACGAGTCATATCACCTATACTTTCAAGTAGTGAGTAGTGAGTAGTGACCGACACGTTATGAGTCCTTTTTGATCTCTTAGGCTTCTGTTCGGTCCAATATTGGCCGGCGAAGTAGCGCTTGACACTCCAAAAGACCTTCGAATATAAGTATATAACTAATAACTTTGCACAGTGATAGTTCATTGTGGTAATAAATTATGTATCAATGCATTCATAATCTTTGGGTTTAGATGAAAAATGATTATTATCATGTATCAAATCTGGCCGAGTGCACCAAATAAACAACGATTATTTTTAATTTGATCAAAGAGATCAGATTTGGTGTCTTTCTATTTTAGAAAAGTACGTATTATTTTAGAAAATCAGATAGTTTGACAATTATAAGCTAATATTTCATGTAGATGTGTATCGACCAGTAATGTATTTGACAATAAAGTCATATATAACATAATTTAATTTGGTTATTAATTACAAGATCATAGAGTTAACTTCTTATACTGTTTGTGAATTTGTAGATCTTATGTACTACAAATGTTTTTAATTTGCAATAATCACAAAAAATAAAACCGAAGAGACGCGGATTCGACGACTCGCATGGTTCGGCGACAATGACATTAGACACGCAAACATATTACAACGTACGCGAATAAGAGTAGGCCCATTTAAACCCATTATTAGGCCCAGTAGGTCCCACTTTTTTGCTTTGTTCTCCTACATAAACCAAATTCGCAGAGTCACTCTAACTAAGCACTAGAAAAAAAAAACACATAAGTCATCTTTCATCTCCTTCCTCTCTCTTCATCTTTTTTAGTAATCTCTCTACCTTAATCTCTAGTTTTCTCAAATGGGTAGGCTTTGGTTTTACTATATTTCATCTCGACATAATCTTTAACTATCTTTCCCTGTGTGTAACCAATCCTCTGTTTTTGCAGTGCATTTTGTCGTGGAAAAACCACAGATAATGTCAGCTAGTCAAAACGTTGTCGTATCAGAGACCACAAGATCAAGTATCATCCCCAACAACAACTCTTCTTCTCAGAAGCTCCCTCCTGGTTTAATCTCAATTTCCAAGAAAAAGCTTCTCAAGAACATCGACATCATCAATGGTGGTGGACAGAGAATCAACGCTTGGGTCGATTCAATGCGAGCTTCTTCTCCTACTCATCTCAAATCACTTCCTTCTTCTATCTCCTCACAGCAACACCTCAACTCATGGATCGTAAGTATTGTTAATTGTCTGTCACAAACTCTTGACGAGTCTTTCTCTTACATTTTTTGTTTCTTTTGTGTTTTACGACAGATGCAACATCCATCAGCACTAGAAGTGTTCGAACAGATAATGGAAGCTTCGAGAGGGAAACAAATCGTAATGTTTCTTGATTATGACGGTACTCTCTCTCCCATCGTTGATGATCCAGACAAAGCTTTCATGTCAAGCAAGGTTCGTCTTAAAATCACATTATTCTGTTTGACTTAATCATGTTTGAGATTAATGACATTTTGATTGCTGTTTCTCAGATGAGAAGAACAGTAAAAAAATTGGCTAAGTGTTTCCCCACTGCTATAGTTACTGGTAGATGCATAGACAAGGTGTTTCTTATTTTCTTGGCATTTTCCCCATATTTTATTACATACTATTTATAAACTTATAGTTAACTAATTTAAATTTTAATTGTTTTTTCAAAGGTGTATAATTTTGTGAAGCTTGCTGAGCTGTATTATGCTGGAAGCCATGGCATGGACATTAAAGGTCCATCAAAAGGCTTCTCCAGACACAAGAGGGTGATTTTTCTAATAACATAATAAATTGATAAAAACAAAACATTAATACTTTTATTGTAACAGTACAAAACATTAATACTTTCTTTATTGCTTTAGGCTTATTTATTTCCTTTTTATTTAGGTTAAACAGTCTCTTCTGTACCAACCAGCTAATGACTATCTTCCCATGATCAATGAAGTAAGACATATATTATTATGTTGGGTCTACTCAATAAATAATTGAATGTATCTTCTTTTGTTGTATTATATAATTAATATACCTGCGAGTTGATTCTTGATTATATAATTTGATTTAAAGGTTTATAGACAACTCTTGGAAAAAACCAAATCAACTCCGGGAGCCAAAGTAGAAAACCACAAGTTTTGTGCTTCTGTGCACTTTCGTTGCGTCGATGAGAAGGTAAAAATTGAAATCAAATGAAGATCTAGAAAATATTATCAAATAGAGAAAACTAACATCGGAAAGGGAAAATTTAATAAACCAGAAATGGAGCGAACTGGTTCTTCAGGTTCGGTCGGTATTAAAAGAATTCCCTACGCTGAAACTGACCCAAGGTCGGAAGGTATGACTTGACATATTCTCATTGTCATAACATCTACTTAAGAAAATTTGTTTGGTATCTAATTTTGTTCTACAACAGTAGTGTAAATTATTTAAATTTGTTTTGGATTTATTCAACAGGTTTTCGAAATCCGTCCAATGATTGAATGGGATAAAGGAAAAGCTCTTGAGTTCTTGTTAGAGGCACTTGGTGAGTACTTGAGTTGTTGTTCACTATTTTTATAAAATATTTTTTCCTCAATCTATGATTAATAAAGCAAGAATTTTGTCTTGTCTTTTCTATTTGAAACTACTTTTTCTCGACTAAATCATTTTTCATCATCAGTGTGGTTCTCAATTCTCCTAATTTAAATTTAGATAAATCAGTTTTGAAGACTGAATTTTCAAACTTTTGGATACGACAGGATTTGGGAACACTAACAATGTTTTCCCGGTTTACATCGGTGATGATCGGACTGACGAAGATGCATTTAAGGTATATCTATTTTTTCCCCTAGCTAATATTTCATAAACTATAAGAGCGTCTATATAATTAAGTTACCATACTAATAATCTTTGTTGACTTGAATTTGTGCCATGTAAATTAGATGCTACGAGACAGAGGCGAAGGCTTTGGCATTCTTGTCTCCAAGTTTCCCAAAGATACTGATGCTTCGTATTCTTTGCAAGATCCATCCGAGGCAAGTCTAAATATATAATGATTAATAGTATATATGTGTAACTATATACTAATATACATATCCATGTATTTAGCAGTTAATGGTTTCTACTCGAGCTAACATTCAATCTCCTAAATACGAAATGAACAGGTTAAGGATTTCTTGCGACGATTGGTGGAATGGAAACAAATGCAGCCAAGAATGTGAAAGGATAATATAATAAACGAGTGACAATGTTCGAAATGCCAATGGACGTATTGGTGAATGTATAATGAATATGTACATGCCTAATTAACTTTTCTTGGAACGTTGTAATTGGTAAAGGATAGGGCAATGTCTTAATATGCCCCCTTAGGTTAATCTTATTTTGTTTTCGTAAGAAAAAAAAAAGGATGAACAAGAAAAGAGGTGACAAATTTGTTTCCAGCAGTCTAGTAAGTTGTAACTATCTTTGTAAAAGTAATATGTAAACGCTTTTTAATTAAGAAAGTAGTTTTATTTAACGTTGTCTCCGAATTTTAATATATCAATGGGTTTTTGGTATCTACGTACTGACGTACATTCCGTCTTGTTTGAAAATTATATTAAAATATCGATCTAAAATAAAGAGATTTGTTCGTATGAAAATCTTTCTGAAAGTATATGTTATGCCAATGTTTGGTAGTTACTGAAATAGCTATAGTTTCTAGCTCCTTCTCTTTTATTTTCCATTTTCTTCGATCTATGACTATATGTATATACCATTTGTAATTTAAAAGTTTACATTACATTTGGAGACGGTGACAGAGTAAAAACTATATTTACGTACATAAACTATGTGACACATATTTAGTAAAATAGTTAAATATGTGGATATAATGTGCGAGGAATTTGAAAGTGTTTGATACTTTGATGTATCTAGATTTGTCTCACTTTGTGTACTTGTCTACTGTCACTTTGACACATAGCCTCATGGGGTCCAAGTGAAACTAAATTATCAATTCAAATCTGTCTGGGACGTACTTTTCACTAGTATAGACGAAATAACCTAACCAAGTTAAACCGCATCAAAACCACGAATTTATTACTTGTATTCTTGCTCGTAGTGGCAAAGGCAAACTCTGGAAACTTGGACGTCTTATTTTGTTTTATTGTTATTTTGGGTTAAGTCGTGTTCCTCTTCGTGCATGTCCTTTGGCCCTGATTACGAACGCTCTGTATATTTATTTGCTGGTACGAGACAAATTTATTATATCGTTGAATTGTAGCAGCAGATTTTGTAGTTGTGTTTCCAATCCATGATAATTAATGCGATAATGCTTCTTTTAAAATAAAATAAAATAAAAATTGATTTTGTGCATTTCTAATGGATGAGAATTTTTCTCTACAAACGTAAATATATCCATTTGTATATTTGGACTTTATATCTTTTAGGTCAGGGACGAGGTTTTTTTTTTTTTTGGACAAATGAGTCTCATCCACGAACCTATTGTCGACTTGAACTCTGATCTGACAATATATAGTTTATTAGTTAGTCCCGTTCCAACTTCCAACCGGTTGAAGTAATCAAATAAACTAATTTCGATGTATTGCAGATGATCCATTTATGTATGTAACAATAGAACAACTAGATGTGAAACTTGAAACTGAAACTCTTATACTTCTCAATTTATATCTAGTTGTGTTACAGAATATGACCAAGTGGCATTTGGTCTACTGGCATACTCATGGTCTCTTCAAATAAGTGAGAAATCGTGCTCTCTTGGTTCAAGTGTCACTTAAGAGAAGTTTTGTTCCGATGGAAAGACATACTATTTAGCCATAGAATTATAAACGACTTAGACAAATTAAAGCAGAAGTAGATAAATTGTACATGTCAAGCCCAGTTAATCTCTGACTTTCCTAGCGCGCTACTATTTCCTATTCTTACTCGAATTAGTGTTTACGTACATAATTGAATACATACATATGTACATGTTACATAGATGGACATAAATATGAGTGGCTAGAACATCATCCGATGCATGCACGTAGTCTCTGCGAAAGCTGAGATATGTGTACAAAAGAAAAGTCATGACTATACGTATAGTGTCATAGCAAATCAATAATAGTGGATGGTCATTATGGTCAAAGCTTTTTGTCCATAGCTTTTGGGTGTATAATGCGACTAACTATCACAATAAGGCTGCATGTGTTTTCAATCCCTTTCGATGTAGACATATCACCAATACTCAAGTTTTACTTTTATATATATGTATTCTCATTGTCCATGACCTAGATTAAATAATAACGAAATTACACTAGAAACCCATAAGTTTCCGTATTGAATTTGTGAACGTAGCTATGTAGGAGTAGGATATGATATGTGTAAGGACTAAGAAGTATAAGAATCATTGCACCAAAGATGTGGTGGCCTAGTGGTAGTCAAGTTCCCTTGTACTCAAGTTCAAATTATATTTTAGTACGGTGGAGTATTTTTTAAATTGGAATATCTAAAGGCATATTCTGAATACAGAAGAGATAACGGCCAAAAATGCATAACTCCGACGTTTTAACAAAAACCCATTGCGAATGAATCGATTATATTTCATAATAGACGAATTAATATAACATTGTTTAGAATTGGTTTAAAACTATATGTCATTAGGATAAATTTTTACCTTAAAAAATGTCATGAAGAGAAATATACAAGATTAACCGTCTCATTGTTTTTCACCAAATATATGATTTTATTTCCCCCAATATTCATTTTGCATTTACTAGGATTTCCAGTTGTGTTGAAAACAACAAGGATACGAAAAACTGTAGAATCCACCAACTTAGAATGAATTCAAAGAAATGTTGTGAAACTTCTAAAATTTAGCGAATATAAAGTTCCAATTTCTAACGTGGCAATGAGAAGAGTTCAGATTGGTCAAATTGGATTCCGCTTATAAGATCGCATAAACCGTGGATTCCACTTACTCATTTGGCCAAAGGTAGATGAATCCACAGTTTTAATTGAGATGCGTTAAAAAGTATACTATATATATTAAAAAAAAAACAAAAATACAGACAAAAACTAAAAAAGGAACGAAACCCGAACACATGGGTGAGGCAGGAAGCAGAGACAATAAGACAATTCCAAAGAGTTACAAAGTGTTGTCAAACTAAACTCACTTCCTCACTTTATTTGAACGTGAAAAGATGGATTCCACTCTTTGCTTTCCCTTCAATCCCTTTCACTGGCTGATTCTTAGCTCTCTAAGCTAACATTTCTTAATTTGTTAGCTTAATCAAATTATTTGATCATAACTTTCAAATCTCAATTATTGGTGATTAAGGAGTCTCTTCACACCACAAATCTCATACTTTTTTAGTATAATATATTTTTAACTACGTTAAATGAGATACGTCTTCTAGAGTTATATCTATGCAAAGGGTTTGGTTAAAAAGGGAATCTAATCTATAACCAAATATTGAAATGTCGTTTAATCATATATATATATATATATATATATATGCATATATAATCACAAGATCATCATATATTTATTCGGCTAATATTTTAGTAGACTTGTATATGTAGTTTCAATAATGTGGATCTTAGAGATGGTAATGAATGAATCACGTGGAAGAGCTCAGATTTTATGTCGACTTATATATATATCCAAGTTTATGAACGTAGACTCTAGAAGTTGCTATATTCTTTCTATTCGCTTCTTACGTTTATAATTGGTTTGTCCATATATAATCAAAACTTCAAAAGCATTAAAGAGGAAGTTTTCTGTTATTTCTTCTTCTCTATTTTTGATATTAAAAATAAAACTATTTTTAAAACATATATCTGCATGTTGTCAGAAACTTGAGGGTGAAGAGAAGGGATGGTCTTATTTTCTGGGCTCCCGTAGTTTTGTTACACGTGTTCCGTGTTCGCATTGGCGACCGGTCCCCGCTTTGAGGGTCGAGCTTTCCGTCTGTCTTGACTCTTTACCATTTTATCATCTGACTATATATTAACTCACATACTGTATATATCTATGTATTTTTTTGTTTGATCGGGTTTGTGTATATATCCGTATGTAACACATAGATAGTGAGTCGTTTATGATATGAATTTAGTTTTGTGTACTTAACATCAAAAGAGAGAGTATTTTGATATGCGCATCGTATTATTATTAAATCTGAATATATCCCATATATATTATGACTAAATGTTAATCACGCATACTCTTTTAAGAAGATGGGATCTGCCTAACTCGTGTACCAATGAATGAAATGGAATATATATATATGAGTAAATTAATGTGTCACATGCGAACTCCTGCAAAGGCGAATGCCATAACAATGGGGAGCCAAATTACGAACGTATCTGAACGTGAACTCTGTAAGAACCAAGCAAATAGTATATTTTTCAAATAATTTGATAATTGAAAAATATACATAAATCATACTATATTAATAGCAGTATGCCAATATGCATCCATGTGCAATTTAGACATATATCATTTTAAAAACAAACACACATTTATATATAATATATATACACACACTAATATATAGGTGACTGCGTTTCACGCCAAATTTGTTTTGTTATTTTACCATATACATTATATCTACCGACATCTTTCTTTGTTTTCTTTTGGTTTTTTAAATAAGAATTTAACATCAGTTATCCACTATATCGGAATATTTCTAAATAATTTCACTCTGTTAACGCAATTGTAAAAAAATAAAATGAAGTCACCTGTACGACCAAAAAAAAATAAAAAAATGAAGTCACCTGTAATATTAGTATGTGTTTAAAATGATATATTTTAGGACACCAGAAGCCCACAGGTGTTTGGGTTCATAACTTCAAATCATCTTTATTAGGCTTATTTTCAGTAAATTAATAAAATTGTGGGTTCATAAACCAAAATTTACTGGTCCAGTTATTGTTTACAAAATTCTAAAGAGCCCATAACTAAATTACCAATGTTCAAATTTGACTTTGTTCCTACGATTAACGCTAACTTGCGACATACGTCAAGAATTGCTTCTTTCCATTGTCTTCAGTTTTTTCTTTCTTTTCTGTTTTTTCTTCGAACTTATACTTTACATCATTTATCCAGAAGTCAGCACTCAGTACAATCACCCAATTTCGAACAAGCAGACAAAAAAACACAACAAATAAAAAGAAAAACATGAAAACGAATGTTTTTTTCTTTCAGTATTCCTAAAATTCTTGTAATCCGAGAAGATAATTCAGTTACAATCAGATGATATATAAACAGAGTAGTCAATATTTACAACAAAAAAATTACTTTTTTGGTTGACTTGATGGTATGTCATAGAGATAAGTATAAGACGAATTCAACTCAAGAAATTAATAACCATGATTACGTAGCTCATCAATGTTAATCATATGGTACTTATCAAGGATTTTGCAAATGATCAGTACAAGTGGACCTCTCACCAGTTGCAAACCTTATACTTGGGTCTTATTCTAAGTCATAACAGAGTAAAACAGAATGGTCTCAAATTCTCAATGCCAAAGAATCACAAAGAGACTTGTGTTTTGTAACTGTGGTCTTGAAGAAAACAAAGAAGTTTGATAGAAGAACTTAACAACACCAACAAGAGTTGCACAAATACATAACCATTTACGATTTTAAGCATCTATACATTGCATCCAGTAAGTTTCAGAAAGAGAAGTTCGATTCATTACAGTGTTTGATCAAGTAGAGAAGAGTACTTACTTACTGGGTGTTGTGTTTAGGTGTTTTCATTGCTCTCTCTATATCCATCCTGCAATCTTCTCGCAATTTTTTCATCCTCACAAAGCTATTTTGCTGCAAAAATTGGAATTACACACTCACAAAACTCAGGTTTATGTGTACAAGAACAACTGGTTTAAAGTAAACTTTGCATTATGCTATGAGATCAGGTTAGAAGCTTCTTAAAGCACTTACAAGGTGGCTATTCTCTTGAGCCAGGATATCGCCCATGCTAAGAAAGAGCGACCTCCACTGGGCCATGAGCTTGGATTCTTGTTTTGCAGAACTAACGGAGTTTTCCGTGACATGAAAATCCGTAGGTCTTTCTTTAGCATTCCTTTGAATCAAGTTGCTAGCTGCTTTCTGACTCTTCTTCATAGCTGGCTCAGAAGAAACAAAAAACAGATCATATTACAATAATCACAGGAAAAACCTAAAGAGCTTATCGCAAATATATGGGACATACCGGATAATCGACCTTTGGTATCCTGGTAATTAAGATCTGACCACATGTACGAAGCTGAAGCAATTCATTTATAGCAATAGCCAAGTTAGATAATAATGTTCATGGAAATCAAGAGAAACAAGATGTAAGATAAAGCTGAAGAATCAGGCACCGTGGAGACAGAATGAACAACAGCAAGATTTTAGCAAGTCATCTCCTGTATTCAGATTCACATGCTCCTTACTGTTAACATTCGAGCATCTACTCATTTCAAATGATCTCAAATTCTGACAATCAGACAACTCCTTCCCAGTATTCAATACATTCCTGCTCTCGGTATTGCTAGGTAACAGAGATAAAGCCAAGCCTTCACCAGTGACATCGGTTTGATTCGCATTAGCAGCCGCGTTAAACTCTCGTGCACCGTCTCTATCACCAGGTTCAAAATAGATCTGTACAGACTTGCTTTCCTTCAAAGCTTTGCCATCACCACTGGAGAATTCCATCACAGCATCATGATATTCCTCAGATTCTTCTTTGTCAAGAGAATCACCAGAAGTATTCTTATCAAACGAAGAAGACCCTTCAATTGTATCCAAAGGTCTAGCATTTTCCTTAACCAAATCATCTACAACTAAACACAACCTCTTTGAAAACTTCTCTCTTGAAACTTCATGAGCAATGGTCTTACCAGATTCATCAAGCAAATCACCCAGAATCGATGAAATCCCTCTTTTGCTTGGAAGATTCGTCAAATCACCCAAAACGGGTCGGGTTTGTTCCGACACTGATTTACCACTATCTTCAGTCATCTTCAAAATGACCCAACAAATAAAGAGCAAAAATTTCAATTTCAAAACAACTAAACGAAGTCAAATTTGATACTAAGAACTCGACGAAAGACGCAAAATTTAACCCCAGATGAGAAATTCAACAAAAACCCTTAATCGAAAACTCAATTTCGAATCGATTCGAACAAAAGGATTTTAAATAAAAACTAGAATTTTGGGTGACTGACCTAGAGAGATTGATAGGGTTCGTCGGTGGGATAATTGTGGAGGATCTGATTGGTGGGAAAATTAGGGTTTTTGATTTGGTTGAGGCGGGAACCGTGCGGAGTTTCCGATCTCGATTCTCTTCTTTTGACTCTCCTTTTTCGAAATCATATCATTATTAAATAAAAAGCATTAAAGTGAGACTGGAGCGATATCTCGCGGGTCCCACTACTTACTGAGCTAGAATCATTAATACAAGCCCAATTGTTTCGAGATTAATAAGCCCATTATAATATACCGGGCCTAATACATATGAGAAAGGATCTGGGGCCGGCTGACCGTATTTTGAAGTTTTGACCCGGCAACCCAAATTAATGGATCGAAATTTAATTCAAAAACTGAATATGAATGCTTAATTTGAACTCTCAAGTAAATATAAAATTAACAAAACTATTCCCTGTAAAGTTTTTTTTGTTTTGTTTTAGTGTTATTATTAATCTTCTTTAGAAACGAATGAGTTATAAAAAATTTCACTCCCCAAAATATAAAAATACATTTAAACTTAGTAAGAGAAAGGTAGATAGAACTTTCGTAAGCTTGTCGTAATCATAATATTGCTGATATCAATAATCCCTGAAATCCCTCGCTTACGATCATATTCAATGCTTTCAGTTTCATCTTATGCCATCTCTCACTCGTAAATAAAACCCTTTTAATCTTCTTGTCTATAAATCTACCTACTATAGTCTATATACTTATGATCACCTATACTATGCAGTATGCACCCATGTATTATCCATATATTAATAAGGAGTATACCGATCGATTTGTCTATCTTAAGGCCATTTTTAAAATATACTCCTTCCGTTTCGTTTTAGTTGTCGTTTAAGGTTTTCTCACACATATTAAAAAAAGCATTAAATTTTCTGTTTTACCCTTTATTAATATATTTTATAAAAAAATTCATTGGCCGAAACATTAAAACAATAGGGATAAAACTGGAATTTTCACAAAATATTTGCATCGAAAACCTAAAACGACAACTATTATGAAACAAAATTTTAACTCTAAAACGACAAGTAAAACAAAACGGAAGGAGTAACAAATTAGCAGCCATAGTATTTACAAAACATTCTTATATTATATGGGCAAAGCGACAAGAAAAATAAACAGTCCTATCAAAACTTTTATTAGATATATTAATTAAGTCGGTGCAATGAACTCTCCTTATCCATCGACTTTGATGCAACCGAAGAAAATTTCTACTAACGTCCGGTGTCGTGATGCCCGCCGGAGATAACTCTTGGCCACCTAAAAAACATAAATATCTCCGCCACAAAATTCCAAAATCTATTACAAGTTATGTTTAGCTCAGACCAAACCAGGAGACTTTGACACGTCCTTATCGCACATGCACGCATCCCCTCCCAACAAAAAATCAAATACAATTCGTGATCTACATATATAAATAGGCCACTCAATTTAGCAAAGGTGGTTGTGCTACATCAGTATATCCTTCTACGTACGGACAATAACCTCAATCACGTATAATATAATATAGATAATTAAGTATCAATTATAGTCCGTGACTCGAATTCTAATGGACTAAAAGAAAAAAAATGGTGGAAGTAGAAGAATTGGAACCACTTAGTCCGATTGAAGATGAAGAAGAAGAAATCAGCTATGATGACCTCAAAAGACGCATGTGGAAAGACCGAAACCTCATGGAAAAGCTCAAGCAACAGAAACGACATAACAACGACGTCGTTTCGTTTACAACACACCGAGCCGAAGCGTCACGGCGCAAGAAGATGGCTCGTTCTCAAGATTCGGTGTTGAAGTACATGATGAAGATCATGGAGGTGTGTAAAGCGAAAGGGTTTGTCTACGGAATTGTACCGGAAAAGGGTAAACCAATAACCGGTTCTTCCGATAGCTTAAGACGTTGGTGGAAAGAAAACGTTCAGTTCGACCAAAACGCTCCAGACGCTATCACTGATTACTTAACACTCGCGGCTGCGGCTGCTGCAGCAGAGCTAATCGATAAGTCTTCGTCATCATCGAGCTTACTACACATGTTACAAGAGCTACAAGACACGACTCTAGGGTCGTTACTATCAGCGTTAATGCAACATTGCATGCCACCACAGCGGCGGTTTCCGTTAGAGAAAGGAATCGCTCCGCCATGGTGGCCGACGGGGACGGAGCTTTGGTGGGGAGAGCAAGGAGCGGCACATGAGCACGGTGCGCCGCCATACAGAAAGCCGCACGATTTGAGAAAATCTTGGAAAGTTAGTGTTCTCGCGGCTGTGATTAAACTCATGTCGCCGAATTTGGGAAGAGTGAGACGTCTCGCGAGACAATCTAAAAGTTTACAAGATAAGATGATGGCTAAAGAGACGGATACTTGGTCTCGTGTCTTAAACCAAGAAGAAGCCCTTCTCAATATCAAAGACCTCAAGATCTCGGAAGATCAAGATCAAGAATCGTCGGGGTCTAAGAGAAAGGGTGAATTTATGGAACCATCTAAGAGTGTTTACACTTGCCAAAACTCGAGTTGTCCTAAAAGTGACGTGAGTTTTGGATTCGGGGACAAGAACTCAAGGACAGGTCATGAGATACAGTGTCTATACGGGTCGACCCAAGAGCCGAGCCAGAGCGGTGAATATACAACTTCCATGCTTGAAATGGTACCAAGTATTGTTACTAATTCGACTAGTGAAGATGATTATTACAGTGTGAGCTCGAGTGCAATGGACAAGCGAGATGATGATGATCATAGCATTAATGGGAATTGGATGGAATATTTTTGGTTAGAAAAGATGCAGCAGGAGTTACATTGCTCTAGGAGATTCGAAGATGATGAGGGTACCGGAACGGATTTGGACCAGCTCATAGAATCTGAACGATCGGACAACGTGAACCAGAGTACTTTTTCAGTTTGGGACATGGGTTGCGAAGACAAAGACATATACATGTTCAATTAATGGTTAAGCTTGTTACTTGTTACATGGCTAATGGTTAAGCTTAATACATGTACCCAAAGTCAGAACATTTCTGTCTCTACTTGTATACTCTAGTTACATCTATCTACCTATACAAGAAAATAAAATTGTTTTAAGATCTTGTATTAATAAAGTAACTAAAATATAAAATATTGGAGAATTATCTTAATTATAGGCTGCATCGAATTATGATCCTAATAAATAACGGAACATACTACAAATTCCTTTTTCTCGTCATGAACATGAGAAATATTTTTTAAGGTTGCAACTTGCAAATACTTTATTTTATATAGTTTCTTAGATATGTCTAAAATAGTATCACCATTTTTAGAGACTCAACAACATAATAAAAAGAAAATAAATAAAAACTCTAAATAAACTTTTCTGTTCTGTTTCACCAAGAACATAAGATGAGTAAGGATATGACTCAAATAGCCCGGACATCACCGTCGGCGAGGTAGCGTTTGCGGAGAGCGGCACAGCCGCGGAGCGGTTCGTCCCTGAAGAAACCCATGGCGTTGGCGTAGTGGCGAGTAGAGGCAGCTCCGTTGGAGCGCGTGAGGATCACGGTGGCGGTGCTTCTGCCAGGATCAGCCTCTTGGCAGCGGGAAAGAGGACTGTGAACAAGTTCCGCCAGACATTGCTGGTCCTGTCTGTCTCCTCTGACGGCGACTTTGTATTTCCCATTGGGTCCCGTCACCGCCACCCCAACCAACTCCGATTTCAGTGTCACTCTGTCTTTGCATACTATTCTCACTCTTGCCCCTGTTTTTCATATAACCCTTGAAATATTTCAGTGTTAATTTCAATGCTGCTTTTGGTTTTGCATGCGATTTCATTTCTATATAGAGAATTTTGGATTTTTATACTTATCAAGATAATCTGTAAAATGCAATAAACAAATTAAACAAAAAATTGAAGTTTTAGACTTTAAGTTGATTTAATTGAAAATTTACCGAATGGATGGTTTTCTATTTACATGTATACAATGGGAAATATATATGAGGATAATAAGTACGTAAGTATAAATACGAACCGTGGATATATTTGGTGGCAATTGTCTCGAATCCAAAGCGGCAAGTGTCGCAGTAAACACATCCTTCAATGTGGAATGGTGTTCCAACCGCCATGGCCGCAAGTGGGAGCAACGAAACGAATAACACAACGATCAGAGGTACAAATGATTTAGCCATCTCCATAAAATGAAAGAACTATATTGTAGATTTTGGAGATTGTTATTAGTGAAGGGGTTTTCTGTATTATGTGAAAACTATATGTATTATATAAGAAGGGAAATGAAGGGCACATGTAGTAAAGAAGGTGTAAGTGTATCGCATCTTGTGCAAATTAAAAGCTTCCTTAGCTAGTGTCGGCTGGATCCACTTGCGGCTGCTCCTCCGCCGTACTCGGCGAGAGAGTTTGTGTTACCTTTTACACAAGTCAACTATATGGTTCTTGTTAATTCTAGTCTACGTCTCGATCGGACTTAATATTTTTATTTCGACTAATTTATTCGGCATTTGACTTTATGTATATAGTTTTCTATAGACTGGATTTATCCCATCACGATTTTGTTGGAAAATAGGAAATCTAGTTTTTGGAATTTCTCACCAATTTTCAGTAAGAATCTAAAATTCACTTAAAAATCCTCAAACATTCACGGCCTAAGAACATCTACAACAATAAGTTTTTCTCAAAACTATCTTAACACACAAAAATATTAATATTTTATTTTGATTTAATTAAATAACTAAAATTTGATTTTAAAATAAAATACACAAATGGGAAGGTGACAAATGTCAATAAGGCTCTTGTTTAGTGACTCAAATGTCAAATGTTTAGCTTACTCTCTTTCTTCATTTTTCTATTATTTTAATTTTAAGAATTTGATTAAGAACCCTTCATTGGGGTTGCTCTAAGATGGAGCATTATCTTACAAACCGTTCACTTGATTATAAAATAATGAAGATTTTGTATATTGGAACAATAAATCTTTATCAAAAAAGAAAAAAAATGGAACAAAAAAAAAAGTCTGTAAAATAGAGTGATGAAAGTGCTGGTTAGCTTCCGTCTGACCAGAACGTGCTTATGTTTCCTCTTGACTTAACGTAAGAGTGCATGACGATTCTCTAGATAATTATCTTGTAGGCTGGTTGTAACTTGTATATATAGATTATTATTTAGTAAAAATCAGATTCGTATATCAATTATAAAAAACAAAAAAAAAACAAACAAACAGATTCGTTAAAGATGATTAATGTTCACAGTGGCGTCTGATACTCTTGTTCTAAATAAAATACAGTTATGAATTTCTTTGTATAGCCAGGTCACTAGCTAGGCCAAAAAAAATATATGTGAATTATATGTATAATATTTACTGTAATGTCTAAATACATATTTCTTATCATTTTATTTTATAAATGTGGATTAAGGAATTCCTTCGTGGATGACGGAAGTGAATCTGGTAGGAAGAAAATATGGAAGAGGTCGGTCACGTTAACAGGTAACAGCAATGAATCTTAATAACTACGCCTATTGGGCCGAAGGTGACCGACATGGGCCCAATAAACCCATTCCAACCATACGCGTTTAGGATAAAAACAAATTAATTACGACGAGAAAAAAAACGCACAGAGAGAGAATTGCAAAATAAGCCGTAGGCTTCTTCACAGTGAAGCAAACACAAGTTTTAAGGGGGGTGTATTGGAACAATAATTTTAGAAGATTTGGTGAAATTTGAATATTTTAGGTTGTTGAGAGATTTGATAAGTTTTTAAGATATTTGGGTTGATTTGTTAGACTATTTATTTTTTAAAAAAGAAAAATGATTGGTGATTTGGTGAGATTTTTTGGGGAGTTTATTCTTTAACTTTGAGTGATTTGGGATACTTTAGAACCAAAAAAAAATATTGGGCCGTAATGGGCTTCGTCTTATGTCTTATTTGAGAGATCTATACTAACATCAACCGAAGTAGTATCAATAGCACCCGTGTTTGTAGTAGGGAGAGACTCACTGTTAGTTCCAATGACCATGGTAGTGTCATTAGGCGGGTTCTTGTCTACGTTGATGATCTGATTATTTGTAGCAATGATCTCTCGTTTTTAACCGAGTTTAAAGAGTACTTGGGCCGGTGTTTTCACATGAAGGATCTTGGCAAGCTTAAATATTTTCTGGGTATTGAGGTAGCCCGTAATGCGGAAGGTATCTTCTTGTCTCAACGGAAATATTCACTTGATATTGTAGCCGAGACCGGCCTCCAAGGAGCAAGACCGTCTAAGATTCCTATGGTTCAGAATCATCAACTCGCCATTGACACAAGTCCTCTTCTCTCGGAACCTGCTCGTTATCGAAGGCTTGTTGGCCGTCTTATTTATCTTAAGGTAACTCGACCCGAGCTCACCTATCCGATACACATTTTGTCACAGTTTATGCAAGCTCCACGCGAGGCACATTGGGATGCTGCGTTGCAGGTTGTACGGTATTTGAAGGGTTCGGTTGGCCAAGGTATTTTTATGCGTTCGGATACGGAGCTTACACTTACAGCGTATTGTGATGCTGATTGGGGAACATGTCCGTTGACACGTCGTTCTTTAAGTGCGTATTTTATGTTTCTTGGAGGCTGTCCTATTTCATGGAAAACTCAGAAGCAAAAGGCTGTCTCTCGATCCTCCGCAGAGGCTGAATATCGCTCCATGGCCGATGCTTTAAAAGAAATCATTTGGTTGCGTCAGCTTCTTCATGATCTTGGTTTTCCCCAACAAGCTCCGACGCGGTTATTTTGTGACAATAAAGCAGCGCTTCACATCGCAGCCAATCCCGTCTTCCATGAAAGGACAAAACACATAGAACGGGATTGTCACTTCGTTAGAGATGCCATTCAAGACGGTGTCATTTCCACGGCTCATGTGCGTTCTGAGGACCAGCTGGCCGATATCTTGACGAAGGCCCTTGGTTTTCAGCAGTTTAGTATTTTAATGTCCAAGTTGGGCATCGTTACTCTCGGCGCTCCAACTTGAGGGGGAGTATTGGGCCGTAATGGGCTTCGTCTTATGTCTTATTGGGCTTACTTGTCGAGCAAATCTTGTTTAGGGTTTACGATATGTATATAAACGTTGTAAAGCCGTCATTGAATAACACACACAAATATTCTCTTTATTCTACAAAAAAGAAAAAGAAAAACTGGGTTTAAATCCCCTCTCTCGCGTCAACGAAATTGTGACCAATCAAACCCCACCATTGAATTGTTTAAACGGTGATCTGCTCTCATGATCATCTTCTCCTCTCCGAGGATTATTTGGTGTTTGTGATGTTGTTGTGGCGATGATCTCATGTGATGTGCCCATTAATTAATCCTACATATTCTACCAACAAATATATCGAAATAATGTTTCAGTTTGGTTGGGTTTCATAACTTTTGTGGCTTCAATTCTGTCTCGTGAAGCAAAAGATATAAACATAAAACCAAGAATGAAACATCATAAGAGAAACCACACATAGGACTAACTCAAACTTTAGATGTAAATATGCAACTTTTGAAGCTAAGCAATATTAACATTGGTGAAGAAATAACTCACCAAGATTGCATGTTTGGTAAAACGTCACCATGTCTGCATAAACAAAATAACAAGAAACCCACAAAACCAGCTTCTTAAATAGTGCTCTGCAAATTTTTAATGTATCCCCTAAGGTTTCATGCACCTTTAATAAAAAAGAAAGACCTGATAACATTTGAGAATCAGAGCTTAGAGAGGGAAAGACCATTACTGATTTTGAAAATATTGTATCTTGGTGAATTATATCTGAACAAAAACTTACTTAGGGGAAGTCAAACAAGCAGTTGAATTATCCCCTAGTATATGTCATCTCGTAGATATAAATCAAAACAAAAAGCTACGAAACTTCTAAAGACCAAATTAAAACAACAAACCAAACCTTCGGAAAAGCTAAAGGACGACTGACCTGAGTCTCCTTTCCTTTTAACTATATACCATAACACCATTGAATTGTTACTACAGACAGAAACATAATTGAACTTTCACTGAATGAAGTGAAAAAGGGAGCAAACAACCATTTGTACTCCCTGATTCGTTTCCAATTTTGCAACATCAGTCAAGAGCTTAACACCAAGTTCATCGAGAACCGTTAATTTCAGAGACTCTTCAAAAAACTTCACGAGTTGCTATCTCAAACTTCCTATGAATGTTCACTTGCTGTCACGAAGTTACAATAACGAACGAAAAAAAGCTCAGAAGGAAGAAGCATAAAGACAAGAGCAGAGAATGAACAGAGTTTCTACATTCTCGAGTTTAGATTTTGCCTATGAAAAACGGAGACCGAAAGCTTTTTGAATGGAAGACACAGAATTGGTTGGAGAATCGGACACTAGGGTTCAATCGGAAATTGAATTCGTGTATGGATTCGATTACTGGAAGCAATTAGTTTTTCACAATCCATCGATCAATGCAGAATCAGAGTGTGAAACCCTCTTTTTCCAAGAATATGGAATGAAAGACGAGAGAAGGACGATGAGGATATGTTTGCAGACTTTTTCTGTGAAATTTTAAGGAGGGGTTATTGGTTCATTGATTTATAAGGAATTAGAAATCCATACAAAAATCATTTGTTATTCAATCATTGATTTTAAAATCCTAATTAAAATCATGTGTTATTGGTTCTATGATTTATAAATACTAGTTAAAATCATATGTTATTCGTTTAGTCAATTGTTTTTGGATTTGATAATCCAAATTATGTTTTAAATGGATTTGAATGGAATTGAAAGAGAAAAATAGAAGGATTCAAATTCATGGGTAAACACATGTTATTTCAAAATCCATATATCTTGATTTCATAATTCATAGAAATTTTCAAATTCTATATGGATTTACAAATTAATAAACCAATAACACCCCCTAATTTTATCAAATCCTTGTGAATAGCACCTCTAGAGGTGGGATATTTTCATGCTATTTTTTAACTAAAAAATTATCCAAAGTCTCATAGAATCAGTGATTAGTATTTTATTTTAAAAAAATTGTTAAGTTTGAATAACAGTAGATTTGATATGGGTTTTATAAATTCTTGATTGAATAACAGGAGATTATGGATTATTTTGAATGATTTTATATAAATTCCAGTTTCAATAACAAGAGATTTGAGAAGATATATACAAATCTCAAGTTGAATAACAGGTCATTTAAAAGAAAAACCAATATCTTCCAAAATTCTAGTTCCAATGCACCCCCTAAGACAGAAGAGAAGAACACATACACGCAAGAGGCAAGATCTCAATCAATTCTCTCACGAATAAGGTACAAAGTTTCATCAACATTTTTGTCTTAAAACAGATAATATTGACTTAAAATCTCGTCTACTTATGCTATTATGTATCACACACAGGGTCTCTTGGCCAGAGAGAGAGTATTAAGATATACAAACGCTGGCCCTTATCAGCGGAATAGTTACACATCTTATTATTATTTTTTAATAATTATATATGTTTTGGATTTTTATTTCAACCGCCGATTAAAGGTGGCTAATTAAGCAGCGGGAGAGTCACCGGAAGATTGTCGGATATTTGTCCAGCAGATGAAATCTCCATCTCAGCTTCTGCTCCCACATGATGATTCTTCTCCATCTGTACGATAATCATAGGTCAAAATCACTATTCACTTTCTTCTTTTTGTCTTGTATCCAAGGAATATCTTTTTCATACAATCAATTAAGACTAACACCATAAAAGCACATAAGCACATAAGGAATATCTTTTTCATACAATCAATAAACTTATTATTTTAAAACTATTCACCTTTGTTTCCGAATTAAAACGGAATTAAGATTTCCCCTAACTCAAACCAGCCCGAATCAAATTTCTGTTCTAATTCAGTAGTAATCTCACTAACCCTAATCAAATATAGAAACAACCAAAATACCCTAATCTTGAGAAGAATTTTCTAGAATACAAGGCAGAAAGTGCAAACTACTGGCTGCCATAAGAAAAGAAAGTGCTAACTAGTGAATGCTTAAAGTGCTCTGTCGATATATCTGCAAGCAAGCATAAGAGTGTGTATCTATGTCCATGTAAAGAGCTTACTAGTTATGCATATTTATAGGAAATGTAGCTTTCGTTACCTGGCTAGCCAAAACCTGGTTCTCTTCTTTCAGCAATTTCTCCTGTTTTAAAGATCAACACGTTCAGCAACTACCGATCAAGTTTCTAAACCTAACAACTTTAGATTTTGGATTTCAAAACATATGCATTGGGAAGAAGTTGCAAAGATGTGTGCAAGCTCGTTAAGCAGACTTAGAGAAACAGTGACAACACACGAGAATATATATGATGTACTATAACCTTGGAAGCAAATTAAATATCTGACCTTTTCTTTAAGGTTCTCCACAAGCTTCAACATTAGTTCTGTCTGCAACAAAGAAAAGCAGCACAGTTGTTATCGGCAAACCAAATTCAGAAAAGAGTAGACATTACGAAATCAACAAACCTTCTTGGCTCTGGTTACGGAGAGGGCAGTCTCAAAGTGTTCCTCTAGTTTAACAAGAGTATCGGCACTCACATTATTGACATTTGATCCCACAAGCTTGCTGCATATATTCATAGTTTGACAAAAAAACCCTAATTCCTTTGTAATCAAAAAAGGAGAGCAAATATAGTCTTAGTTAGTACTAACCTTTCCACAAGTTCAAGTAGCTCATGGTGTGAACCATAGTTCAGAGCTTTTGACTGAATATCCTGCCCATGAAAAAGGGAGAGAAGAAGCGGTAAAAGACAAGGGCTAGGAGAATTTTGATATGCATCTGGACACACGGTAAACTAATGATAGTAAATTTACTCCTTATAAAACTCCATCTGGGAAAAGATTCAAAATGTTTGTATTACCAAGGCTTTAAGATCATCAGCATGTTGTTTCCCATATCGATCAAGGATCTTGACCAGGCTAGAGAGAGAACAAAAAAATAAAAATATGTTAGGATCAAAACTACTATAGCTAACCCTTGAAAAGACTGGAAACTATGAAACATTTATATGGCATCAGAAGAGACATTTAGAGACAACACCTTAATTTTTACACATGTATATTATATATAACACCACTAGTATTCTTAACATTTCAGAAAAAACAATAATCTTAGTATTCATGTTTAAGCAGTACATCTGAATTTCCACCTTTTAACTTATTTTTTTAAATTGTTCTTAGCTTACGAAGCAATATTTAATAATATATGATCTTTTTATCTCTCAAGAAAAGAAAAGAACTCTAAAATTTACCAAGAATTGTTCAAAGTTTGATTATCCAATGAAATATGTGGGTTTACATGTATTTATTATATATTTCGGCAGATTGAAAATGACATTTTTCCTCAAAGAAAAGTCATACTAAAATTTAAGGCATGCAGATGTTATTATCCTGTGATCTATTAATTAATGTATAGCGCTGGCTTTGATTAATTTAAAGTCAAACTAGTTAAGGTATATATCATAAGCGTCTACTGTCCAGATTACTTCTATACATAATTGAAAGACTTCCCTAAAAAAAGGAAACAGTGGAAGACTGCTTCCAATTCATTTGCAGCTTATATTATTCTAACTGCAACCTCTATCAGAGCTTCCATTTTGGGTTTTGATCCATACTACAACTTTTAGCATCAAAACAACACCTATCTTCTTTACAAAGCGTGGTATCAATACCATTATAAATCAACCTATTTACCCTCTATATTCTATCATTACATTTCCTTGTGAGATTTGATCGGGACTACCAAAAAATGGTTTAGAAAAAATTTGAAAACGCCTCTTTCATGAGTTCATTAGTAATCTCGTGTCAAAAACAGTGACATCAGCTCTTTGTTTCTAAGTAATACCATATCAACATATACGAGAAAACTTTTCGGATTTTTCAATGAACCTTGAGGACAAGTTCCTTTCCAGCGATATCGCTAGTATTGATGAGCCCTAACATGATGATGATGATGTGGCGGTAAGCAGAGATGACCATAAGTATGAGGAATCCACACTCCAAATACATGGACCGAGTCTTAAACAAACTCATATTTCTATTTTATGTTTGTTTGCAAATAATCAAAAGACTCTCCTAAGAATAGGAAGCCGGTCTTCCATTTTGTATTTCCACTTTCAATTTCTTCCTCGTTTGTAGAAACTGTGAGGTTCCAATTTCCTATATTTAAACCCCAAAATCAAGCAATAAAAGTAAAGAGTTTTCTGCCATTGAAGTTACACTAACTTATATTACTAGGAAACCTATCACATCTATACATAAATATATCTTCTATAGAAGGAAGCGACTAAGACAGAAAAAACTAAACTAAACTACATAATGACCTTATAGAAGACCCAACAAATTTGACAAAATTTCCACTAATTCACATAATTTTTTTGTTAATAGGTATCAGTTCCATTGTGAAGCCAAAACTAAGTATGCAAAAATGAGTTACCGAGTAACTAAGGGTTCCACGTTCTAAAAGGCTTCTTCTTTATAAAATCATAATTAAGGCCAGGAGTTCTAGTCAGGTGTCTCGACTATTCCAAGGCTGGAACCTAACTTTCAGTATATAAGGGGTGAACAAATCCTAACAAAGCATGCATCAAGTGAGAATCGGCCAGCGATCTTGACCAACATGGCCAAACCACTACAGCCACTTGGTTACTATATTAGAGGGTTGTAGTAAACACTACACCAGCAATTTTGACAACTTATAGGATTTTATTGATTCATTATAGATCCGTACCAAAGAGGTTGGTATTTCTTACATGAAGACAAGTTTTGTGGGATTTTCAATTTCCTAGATGCACCAAAGAAACAAGGCTGTGTTATTGACAATTTCCATGACAAAAGACACAAGATACAAAGGTTGTGTGATTGTCGATTTTCACAACAAAAGTTACAAGGTTGTGGATTGTTGATTCCAACAACCGACACTACGATGTTATAATATACATCGATTATAAGATTAAGGACGATAATTGATATACAATCACATATATATGTAGCATATCTATGTGTGGTAACTGCAAGAGTGGGAAACTATAAACCTTTAATTTGGATAATCTTCAAATAGCAAATCGCATAAAAAGGAGAGAAAACCAAACATCTTGATCTATTGTACCATTAACCTCATACTAATTTTATTTATAAATCTCCCTGAAGTGCATTGTATACAAATCCAAGAGAACAATGAATTTTAATTAGTCTAAAATTAGACCAGTTAATGTGCACTATGTGCAGCAAAAAGTGTTATATATGCACACGACGATTGTGATTAAAAGAATCGCAATCGATACCAAATTACATAATTGAAGTAGCATATATATGCGCGGTAAGTAGTAATTGTGTGGCTGGGTTGTTTAGAAGATACCAAATTTCAAAAGTACTGTATATGAAACTTAAGAATCAATTAGAAACACTAATTTGGATAATCACCAAGTAATAGGTCCACGACAAAGATAGGAATTCATAGAAGAACAACAACTAGTCTTATATAGTCAATAGCTGCACAATGTGGTATACATTATTCAGCATTAACCCGATAGCAATTCTATAGATCTCCCGTAAGTGCATTGCCCTGCATACAAATCCGAGAGATCCAATGAATTTTAATCACTCTGAAAAGAGAGACATTAATCACTTCAAAAACTTAAGGAATCTCTAAAGCAAAGTAACAATCAAAGATGGCTTGAAACTTCACTAAACAACATCGAGCACGCATCAAACAAATCGTGAAGGACATGCAAATTATTTCCAAAGAAAATAATAAAATCCATGCAGAAAAAAAAAATTAAGAAATATAGAGAGAGAAATGAACAAAAGTAAGAAGCTTTAGCTTCATCACGACATTGTTCTGCCTTAAATTTGGTTATCTCATGTATCTCTCATGGTCATAGAAAAAGACACTAACAAACACAGAACCGAGAAACAACAAAAGATTCGCCGGAAAAAAATGGTTTATTAATTGTTTTTTATTTTTGTCTTTTGTTTTTTTTTTTTCCTTCAGAAAAGTAAAGAGCACAAAACTGAAGATTAAAGGGGAAAAAAATGGAAACCCAGATAAGGAAGAGGCGTACTTATCGCCGGAGGAGAAGCTGTAGAGCTTGCCGGAAGCAGAGACGACGAGAAGAGCGACGGATGCGTCACAGAGAACAGAAAGCTGACGAGCTTTCTCGATGAGACCGTTGCGACGTTTGGAGAAGGTGACTTGTCGGCTACTTTTGTTCTCAATTCGCTTGATTTCTAGTTTTTTTCTCCCCATGGCTTTTGTCTCCGAGAGGGCTTTATTCCCTAATTTGATCCTCAGGTTGGGTTCGAAGTCGCCGGAGATACTAAGCGTTTTTCTCTTTCCTTTTTTTTTTTTTTTCCTTTTATTTCTTTCTATTTTTTGTACCTATCTACTTTTTCTTCGTTGGGCAAGATTTTTTTTTTTTGGGGATAAACGAGAGTGATGAAAATAAAATATGTGACTAAAAACGTTGCGTTTTGAAGACAAGGTAGCCACGTGCAGGGGCGGATCTATGTTAACTAATATGGGGGCAGTTGCCCCCCCTAAATTTTCGAAATTTCTTAAGAATTTTAAGGATTTATTTTAATTGCCCCCCATTAAAAAACTTTCTTGCCCCCTTTAAACTTTAGTTTCCCAATTAACCAATTCTCGTTGACTAAAAAAAGGTAACTGAATATTACATATTCCTTTTCCCCTTTAATGTAGCTTAATTCTTTACAAATTTAGTTCCAAAATTTAAATAACAACGTAATCTAACATACATATACCGTAATATTTATTTCCCTTTGTATCAAATTGAAATTTAATATTTAGAAAAATCAGTCATTTCCCATAATTTTGGTGGTTTATATTTATGGTAATTGATTTCTCTGTAATATTTTCTGTGTGTTTTTCTCCAAATATTTGAGTTTTCTATTTAACAATAAATCTAAAACGTTAGTATACAAATTCTGGTAAATTTAAGTTTAAGCTGAGAGTCATTTAAAATTTTATTTTTTTGTAAAATTTAAATCAAATAGATGCTAATTCTAAATCTCGAAATTTTTAAATATTACTCTTTGAATCGTTCCAACTTTAATTATTTTTAAAATAATCTTCCTATTATATTTAATTGTTAATTAAAATATTGTATTCATTTTTCTTATATACATTATTAATTATATATATCATAATTAAATAAGGCAAAAACTATGTGAATTTTTTTTTTACAAAAATATATTTATATTTTGTAAATATCGATCGCCCCCCCTAAAAAAAATTCCTAGATCCGCCACTGGCCACGTGTACCGCATCCCCTGCGGATTGAACTATCGTAGAAAGAAACGAGAACCGTCGATGTCCTTAACAAGAGAGTGTAAAACATTATTCAAGATCTCTATTCTCATTGAAATGATTTCCATGTTGATCTTCACACGGGAATGTAAAACGGTAAGAATATTATATATTCTTCAAAAAGGGATCCATGAGGAAATCCTCTCAAAAGAAGGATATTCATCTACAGCCTCACCTTTCAAGTGTCTAATATAACATTTTTTATGATCAACAATCTCTAGTTCATTGTATAACACATTTTCATAATTTGGTAAGACACGAGTTAAGACTTTTACATAAACAACCACACATAAGGAATTCAGTCATTTGTTCTTTGATCTTTATTCTAAATTTAACCCAAATCTTTGGCTACCATCGGGGATGTAGACCATTACATATCTAATGTTTTGAACTAAAGCTATTTTACTCAACTCGCATACAATTTCATTGGACCAAACCAAACCTACGTACAAAGACTTTCAATTGGATTGTATTTACCACAAAAGTGTACTAAAATCAAAGTTTCTATAGATCTTAATTATAAGCATAAGTTTGTTCCCTCGCCTAACCAGGTTGAGTTTTTTTTTTATCATTGCCACATTATAGCTACATGTCTATACTATACTGTTGGTGTACTAAGTAGTTTTTTTTTTTTTTTTTTTCTCCATGGTGTACTTAGTAGTTAGTATATAATATTCACAAGATTTGCATTCCTTTGCTCGTTTCTTATTGCATATGCAAATTTTATTTCCTGCAAATCAGACCAATAGTTAGGATTGCGCATAAAACAAAGGTAAAGAACACTGGATATCACCACAGAAATTTACTGACCAAATGATTTTCATGGACTTCCAAACGATGGAAAAATGTTGGTTGAAAAACAAAGGGGAATGTTTACTACTGTATTAATTATGTGGCAGATAAAAATAGAAATCGTATTTTTATTAAGAACTTAATGCGAAAAGTACTTGTTCGAATCGATGGGTGAATATATGATTTATATCCAATCACCCCATCACCTCCTTTCCCTATTCTGGATTATCTTCTCTTCAAGGCCAAAAAAAAAATATATCTTTTTCAAGGCATCTCTATGTTTTAAAGTTTTAATTTATATATCAATGTTTAATTCTGATATTATAGTTTCAAGTTTTCAACTTTCAATCTTCGAAAACGACAAAGATATATATATATTCCCATACAATTAGATTGAATTTACGGTTTTGGCATTTCCACTTCTCTTTAAACAACTGGTCAATTAAAGTGGAGGAAATATATTCCCCATCATAAAACAACAACAGGCAGTCGTTAAAATTCATTACCATTTACTGCTTCTGTGTGTAGCAGTAAAAATACTAGTCCATAATCATTCGTTACTCTATAGTATTAGACTCTTTTTTATTTCTTGATTTGCTTCGATGATGACATTAAACACGTTCTCGGTATACATTTCACCTTCACGATCGATCTTTCTTCTTCCTTCTTCGTCTCCTTAGCCATCTCCACAATCTTTGATCTGTTCAAATATTTAGTCAGATCACATTTTTTGTAATTCAAGTTGACTCGTTGTGTACTACTAACCTTTCCTCGTTGAACGAGTTGGATCGTCTTAGCGATGGTTCAGCCGTGACTCGTTCCTGACTCACCGACTCGACGATGCTTCCGCTGAAATACTCTTTCTCCTCCGCTTGTGGATTCCCGAACCTTGGATTCTCCGACATGAACCTTATCATCTCACGTTCGTCATCGACGACAGTCTTCTTCACAATGTTCTTGCATAAAACTCCTTTTCGAAGATTCTCTTCTTTTTGTCTCGGATTCATCACGCTCGGTGCGTAGTACTTGGTGGCGGCGATGTGCCCGCACGATATCATCTGGAGCCACATCGACCCACGACCCGATCCGGGTTCCACCGGATCTCCGTCCTCGACCCGCGTCGAAACGTCGAGTCGACAAGGCTTCACAACCTGGTTGGAACGAGTCAACTCGGACGATTCAGAACGTACTTGCAAATCTTGTTCTTTCTTGATCAAGATCGGTTTTGGTTCGGTGGATTCGATTGTCTCCGTGGATACGCCTCTGGAACAGCGAGATTGCGGCGTTGTGGAAGATGTATAACTCGTTTTCTCTTCGTAAAGTTCGTACTCTCCGTCTTCTTCTTCTTCTACGTAGAGCTCTGAGTCGTCAAACGACGTCGTTCTGTTTTGAGGTTTGAGTTTTGACCTGAGAAGTCGACTTTTTGGAGCTTCTTGAATAGAACCAGACAATGGTCTGTTCACATGTACTTCTTGAAATTTGTCTACAAAAAAAATTGAGAAACAAAAAGATAAAAAAAAACTCAACTTCGCAAAACCACAAATTTCAAAATTAGTAAATGATTTATAACAATTTTACCGGTGATTTCAGATCCTTTCAAGACATACTCAGCACAGTCCGAAGGGTAAATCACATCGTTCTCTGCTAAGTCATTCCAAACGAATCCATTTCTATAGCTCCTGATGAATATATCGAAATAAAATGCATAAATTTTGCGCCCTTTGATTACAGATTTTGCCTCAGTTTTAAAGCGTTGTTACCTTTTACACGACCAAGCATATTGTGATGGCATGCACTTCCCTCTCAGTACCGTAAGCCGGTTCATCACATCTTCATCAAAACAAACACACTTTTAAAAACCGGCCAATCACATCACCGTTGATGTATACAAAACAAAAATCGAAACTTTAGCATAAATTGAGATCAAAACACTAGTCAGAGAAAGACCCATGGACTATATAAACAGAGTATATAGTGATCTCTCTCTTTCTGTTATTTTGGGTATTTACCTCTTAACCGGAGAGGCTGGTTAACCGGAGAAATGACTTCGATGAAGTGAGGGTGTTCAAGGTGGCCATTTCTAGTGAGATAATAAACAACTTGGACTCTTCTAAAAATGGGTTTCTTTGTCTTGACCTCTTCTTCAAGTTGATGATGATGATTCAAAGACCTTATTAGCCTCTCTGGACTTTTGTTGCTCTCTCTGCCTCTTCTGCATCTTACAGCTTCCATCTTTTGTGTCTATACTCTATAATGTCCGGACAAGAGATGAGAATTATTTAACACAGAGACTGTGTTCTTTATATAAAAAGATAAGGGAATGTATTTGTCCCTGTGTGTGTATGAATTGGCTCTCTCTGTGAGAGCAGAATTGGCATTAGAGATGAGCCAAACCAGAACTGACAACGACTTGGCTTTACTTTCTACCTGATGGTACAATGGGATAACCCGGTCCAGTCTTAATCCATCCAGCTCTGATTTTATCTTCATTTTAATTTCGATATAAATCCGGTTCAACCTTATTCTTAGGGTGGACAGATTGCTACTTTATATGGGCTAAAACCGTTCCTAGCACCCGGTTCGGTCTTGATAGACTTAGACCAGATTGGTCCTCATGGTTAGGGCATCCGCAGTGGTGTATCCTTGCGGGTGTAAACATTATTTTAAAATACAGAAATAATGTAAAAGTTGTCTCTTTCTTTACACCCGGGTGTAAGTTTACACTCGGGTGTAAGCCACTCTATCTCTCTCTCTCTCTTTCTTTCTCTCTCTCTTTTCTCTCTCACTTTAAATTATAATAATAAAAAAATCTTACACCCCTCCTTCACACTTACACCACTGCGGATGGTCTTAGAAGATTTTGTTGAGGAATTGATGTGTCATGTCATTAAATATATTCTTTAATAGTAACAATCATTAAAAAAAAAAAAAAAAAAAAAAAAAAAAAAAATAATAATAATAGTAACAATCATTTAATTTGTTTCGTTTGCCTAGATGTGGATAAAAAAGATAGAAGCTAAAGTTGTTTCAGAGACGACGATGAGTCAAGATCATTGTGCTTCATATGGAAGTTTGACTTTTAATGACCTCTTCTCATATTAAATAAATAATGTTTTGATATTCCATTTGTTTTTATCTAACCACAATATTCTTCCAAGTCTTT